CTGGTCAATCATATACAAGTCATGTTCAATACGCACGAGTGCCCAAGAAACGACACAGCGTATAGTAAGTCCGTGGTCAGTTGCCTTCTCCATCACATCGTTAGTTAGGCTATGGATCTTGCCTACAGGATGGCAGACATAATACAGGTAGGTAGTCATCCACAAACATGGATGCTGTGAGGCAGTAAAAGTTCATCCCATGTATCACGGACGAGCGGCATAGGTAACACCATATGTAGATCACATATATTGCGGGATCCGCCTGTTATCGAAAGTGATCTAGAGCATCTCGTCTGAAGCTTCGGCCGTCTAATGGAAACAGAAGAAAAGCATAAAACCTGAGCATAATCATGCTCCAGTCAAAAAGCAAAAGCCCCATGCGACGAACTCATAAACGCCAGTCATTAAAGCTCTCTAAGACTTCCTTGTTATCTCTCCCCTTCGCCAGCACCCAAAGTCTTTCTCATCGACGTGAGTCAAGGCTCGGTCTCGACGAATCGAGACTCGGCCGCATGGAGCTGCTGGAGCTCCTGCGACGGCGCGCGCGCTGCTCGCCCGGGTCCGACGGCCGTAGCCCCGACGACTTTGCAAACATGTTCAAGATATCGGTCAGCGAGATAACACCGGTCAGACGCCCAGAGAGATGGGCGCCCGGCATGGCTGCAGCAGGTACAGCGTGCGAAACCTGGGTCGGGAGAGGCGACTGAGGCGCGGAACCAGTGCCCGGCACCAGCACCGACGACGTTGTGGGTGCCAGCAAGGGCGTAGCCGGTGCGGACGGGGATGGAGACGCCGATTCGACAACCCACATGCGATGAGACTGTGTGGCCACGAGCTTTGCTACAGTGTGTGCCAACGTCGAGTACGGGTTTACGTAGAATACCGGGAAGGAATCGCGGCCGTGCTCGACGCCGCGCTCACCTAGGATGACAGAGATGAAGTGCATGCAAGACTGCTTGAGTAAAGGCGCGTCGGCAGCATTCGTCAGGTGCTTGACATCGACGGTTGAGATGTTTCCAACAACGTTGTGACCATTGTCAATGACAGCCACACTCGTCAGGCCCTCTGCGTTCATAAGCGCCAGGGCGTCTCCCAATATGCTGTCGGAGCTACAAAGCATTAGTTCATGTGACAGAATAGCGACAAGAGGGTGTACTCACTTGACGGAAACAATTTGCTGAGTGCCGATGCCGATATCGCGCAAGAGTGCAGGGTACAATCTGTCAATGGCGGGGAAATTGATGCCTTCGTTCCAGAAGAACTCAATGACCTTGAGCTGACTGAGGATGCCGACCACGTCGCCCGTGGGGTTTGTGACTAAAACGCGGTGGATGCCGCTGCCAAACACTTCGATGGCCCGTTCCAGTGTCTCGTCAAAGGGCAAGGTGATGAGTGACTCCTTGCGGCAAAGCGGCTGGATATCTCGAAGGGCTATCCGGGCTCCCGTCTGGGCCTTGTTCACGATTTCATCGTACAGAGGCACCTGCTCCTCGTCGGGCCTGGCGAGTCCTACAACTACGAGGAGATATGTGTTTAGGTCATTGTAGTCAAAGGTAGAGACGGCAGTTTTGGCCGATGCATCTTCTCGGATCAGAACGACGTTGGACGGGCTGTGCTTGACTAGAGTCTATCGCAGCGTTAGTAAACGACGCAGAGCACTTGGCGAGATCAGGGGCGGAGGGAAACAGACCATGGAGGCCTCCTCGACACTGGTGTCTAGAGTGGCCCATCGGAAGTCATCTTGGGCAACGAGCTCGTTGACCGAGATATCGCGCCAGTCGCGGCCTGCAAAGCGCGGGTTCGAGTGCTTGTTGGCGGCAGGTGGGTGGTTCAGGAGATCCTGTACAGCAGCTTGGGTAAAGGAAGGGTGTCGCTGGGCGCGAGGAGAGCCAGGCGCATTTCTCAGGTTCTCGGCAAAGCTCTGGCGATGGGCGTGGACGTGGGTGGTCTTGTGCAGGCTCGTCTGGGAGGGAGTTCGCTGAGGGACAGCAGGAGGTGAGGTCATGATGGCTTCGTCATTGTGCGCCCCGGACGTCGGTGTTGCGTCCATGGCTTGATTCGATCGGGGAGCTCTTGGAGCAATATGGGGAGGGCCAGTATACTCGGGGTGTTGTAGCAGGATGGGCAGAATGATGAAGGGCGGGGTTTCGACGGTGCTTGGCGACTTGCTATGTTGCTGCAGTTTAGTGACTTGCTGTGTAGAAGAAGCTCGTGATGTCGGCTGAAGGCTCTCTCAATAATGCACTTTTACTTCTGCACGCTGCTTCTTCTGTGGTGGCTGAGGGGATTATTGACGAGGCGCCGAGAGACGAAGAAGTCAACGGTCGGCTGATTGCGCCCGAGAGCGACGGTTGTCCAGCCTGGGCCTGAGAAGCTGCACCGCCTTACGTAGAGCTATGGATCGCAATTGAGGGGCTCCGGTGATCTGACGGATCCGAAGGTGACAGGGGAGGCGAACTTGACATGCGCCTTCAACGGGGGGTGTTCCACGACTCTCTGGAAGATGGTATTTTATTGGTTGAGACGTGTTTTGACTCGTGTAGAAGAAGCTGAAGTCTTTGAACGTCGCGATGCTGGGATGATGGAACAGCGAGATGGCAGTGTTGTTTGAACTATGTGTAAAAGGTCTGAAGAGAGTTCCGGCAACGACCAACAACGACGACGACCAGAATGAGGCGGGGAAAGAAAAAAAAAAAAAAAAAAAGAAAAGAAGCAAGAGGAGGGGTTACAGCTAAGGTACTGGACCTTAGGTAGGTAGTTAGGTACCTCGCTAGTTACCGTAGCCCAAGGGAGGTAAGTGAAGCATCATGGCAGGCGCTACGGTGGCAGAAGTTAGCCACTACACGGCGGGGTTGCGTACCCCGGAGACGCAAGCCCGGGGTCGTAGGTTGACAGACCGAGTTTCCATTGGCTACATCTTCTTCACACACCCATAATTGTAATAACCTCACATTACGCATACCTCGCTCATATACATACTCAAATGTATTCTCATAATACTGGCTGGTGCATAAATCAAGTACAGGAAAATAGAATGATACGGGCTCTCTCGACTAAAGCACCTTCTGAGATGAGGTTTACAAGGCAGGTGAAGAATTCCGCGTTGGGTTAATTATATATATGTTCGATTCATTGGCCATTTCGTCTGTTGACTGTCAGCAGCCACCTGCAGCTACCTTGTGTGACCACCAACACCATTATGGCCAGGCACTGATTGTGTAAGTTAGTGTGTGCTCGGGTCCTGACATTCATTCAGATGGGCTTTGTACATTGTATGTGGCCGGATATCTCGCCACACCGTCGTCTTTTCTTTTAGCCAGCGGGCTGTCCCTTGATGCATTCGCCTCATCTATGCCTAGAAAGACGCGTCAAAGCCCGCCGCAGGGATGCAGGTGGGCAGGCACAGCGGTGGAAACAAAGGGTCTTGTCTGTTAGAACGGTCTTCATAGACATTTTCCACTCATCTTGAATGCCAGGGCAGCCGGAAGCTGGGACGAAAACATAAGTGCCTCGAGATAGGGAGCTCCTTGCTTGTGGGTAAGCTTCTCGGCTTCATGCGACGCATCTTTGCATGGTGGAGCTTGCCAGCGGGGCTCTCTCTTCTTTGTGTTATTTCCTACCTGCTCAGAATTTTCTTGCACTTTTATTCTGGGGTTTCGATTGTGTTCCGTTCCTATGACCAGATTTTATCTTATTGTTTGGCTCGAGGTAGATGCTTCAATGATACCGAGTATGCTGGGTAATTGGCGGGCGGATTGAATCAAACAACCATGAAGTTGATTACCTTACCTATCAGTCTGATCATCGTGGTGGTAATTGTCAGGTGACCAATGTAAGACTTCTTCATTCCGGCATCGTTACTACGTCTGCTGGACAGAGTTGGGCATTTCGGAGCATACCAGCCAACGGTTTACTGGGTAACAAGGTGTAGAGAAGTCACCGTTGCTCTGCTCTGCTCAGCTATGCGCGTCTGCGTGCCTGTGCATTGGAGGAGGGAACCTTGATCAAACGTTGACCCGTTGGTGGAGACCAATCTTCACATGCAACCACAGCCAGTTAAAATCCCAAGTCACTAACAAATTATTTTATCCGTACACACAAAGTGACAATGTACTTCGTACCTACCGCAGGCGGGCACTTACACAGCAGAACCCCTCCCATCCGTCCCCCTACCCCTCCTCAAGCCGGGGCCAGGGCAGACAGACCACCGACAGCCCAGGACAGCGCGTTTTCGTGCCTTGGGTGCTAATAATGCCGCCGCCGTACGTACCACCACGGGTACGAAGTAGCGACACCATCTCAGTATGAGTAAAGTGACCAGAAGACCATGGATGGCCTGACGGGAGGGACGTGAGGGACGTACAAGTGGATCCCGCCTTTAGCAACAACAGCCCCGCCAAAAACCTACCAAAATTATTGTCATTTTTTGCAGGTTTCCCCTCCACGACCAAGAAGACCCGAAGAAGACCCCCCCAGTCCTGGTCCCTCACCATCGCGGGCTTGCTGCCTCACTTTTTTGACTCCTGCATGTTCCTTTTTTCTTTTTTTTTTTTCTTCCCTCTCGACCAAAAATCAAACCTCCCTCCACCACCCGAACCGTGCCTCTTGAAGCACATATTGCTCATTGCGAGCAGTCTCTTCTTTCCTGTAGACGACTGCATATACCCGCCTTCCTCCCTATCCTCGTCCGACACGCGTTCGCTTACTTTGGCGCACCAAGAACTGGGGGAAAAAATTAAGGTCCAGAGACATTGGGCTACCGAAAAGGGTAAAAAAAGTACCCCTCAGAACAAAACATAACCCAACGCCGACTCTTATCCGCCTCTCCCCCCCGCGTACACCCTACCTCTTTTTTCGACAAGCTTTGCGCCCTCGACAACCTCACACCGCCCCGGCTGCGCTGTCTTGGGGCTGGTCATTTTAATTAATCTGCAAAAAAGCAGACGACGACTCGACAAGACAACAACCCACCCTCATCCTCTCCCGTCTCAGTCGCAAACATGTCTGTTCTTCCCCCAGACGTCCACGCAGAGCTCTCGCAGCTGCTGCAAGCTCTCCAATCCCCAGACAACTCGGTTCGATCGCAAGCCGAAGACCACCTCCAAAATAACTGGACCGCCACCCGACCCGAGGTTTTGTTGATGGGCCTCGCTGAGCAGGTCCAAGTCGGTTCCGATGCTTCGGTACGCTCTTCCACCCTGCACCTCATGCCTCCGCTTCTACCTACCCTCGCCTTTCCTGCGCGTGTAAACACACACGCTCTTCTGACCTTCAGCTAACCGCGCCATCTTGCTCACCAGATACGCTCCTTCGCCGCCGTTATTTTCCGAAGAATCGCCTCCAAGAGCCGCAAGAATGACCGCGGCGAGCTGGTTGATATGTTCTTGTCCTTGTCCCAGGACCAGGCTGCCGTCATCCGCCAGAAGCTTCTCGAGAGCCTCGGCGGTGACTTCCAGCGTGCCGTGAGAAACAAGATCAGTGACGCTGTCGCTGAAGTCGCGAGGCAATACACCGAAAACAGTACGTCGACACCCAGATCCTGCCTCCTTCATGCTTGAGGACGTTCCGACCCTAACACCATGGCAGATGATTCCTGGCCCGAGCTGCTGGGCGGTCTCTTCCAGCTTAGCATAGCGCCCGACGCCGAGAAGAGAGAGACGGCATTCCGTGTCTTTGCCACGACCCCGGGTATTATCGAGAAGCAGCACGAGGACACCGTTATCCAGGCCTTCCAGAAGGGCTTCAAGGACGATTCCGTTCAGGTAGGAGAACCCCGATTTCAGTCGCTACCGATATCAACCCGGCTGACTTTCAACAAGGTGCGTCTGGCCGCTATGGAGGCGTTTGCGGCCTTCTTCAGGAGCTTGGGAAAGAAGGCGCAGCCCAAGTACTACCCTCTTATTACTGATGTTCTCAACATCATGCCGCCTATCAAGGAAAGCCACGACTCCGAGGACCTTAGCAGCGCCCTTGTCGCCCTGATTGACATGGCCGAGACCGCGCCCAAGATGTTCAAGCCTCTTTTCGGCAACTTGGTCAAGTTCAGCATTTCCGTCATCCAGGACAAGGAGCTTGACAACCTTTGCCGTCAAAACGCTCTCGAGTTGATGGCCACTTTTGCCGACTACGCGCCGTCTCTGTGCCGCAAGGACGAGACCTACACAAACGACATGATCACACAGTGCCTCAGCCTCATGACCGACCTTGGCGAGGACGACGACGATGCAGCTGAGTGGCTGTCATCTGACGATGTGAGTGGCACCTTTGGTGTCTTGTCTGTAATTCGCGTCATTGAAATACTAACACTTCCCTAGCTTGACCAAGAGGAAAGCGACCAGAACCACGTCGCCGGAGAGCAGTGCATGGACAGACTCGCCAACAAGCTTGGCGGCCAGACCATCCTGGCACCGACCTTCAACTGGCTTCCCCGCATGATGACCTCCATGGCCTGGAGAGACAGGCACGCGGCTCTCATGGCCATTTCCGCCATCTCTGAAGGCTGCCGGGAGTTGATGATCGGTGAGCTCAGCCAGGTTCTCGACCTGGTTGTTCCTGCGTTGAAGGACCCGCACCCCCGTGTGCGCTGGGCTGGATGTAATGCTCTTGGCCAGATGAGCACCGATTTCGCGCCCAAGATGCAGACCGACTACTACGACCGTGTTCTCAAGGCCATCATCCCGGTCCTTGACTCTCCCGAGGCTCGGGTCAAGTCGCACGCGGCCGCTGCCCTCGTCAACTTCTGCGAGGAGGCCGAGAAGTCCATCCTGGAGCCCTACCTCGATGAGCTCCTGTCTCACCTCTTCCAGTTGCTCCAGAATGAGAAGCGCTACGTCCAGGAGCAGGCTTTGTCGACCATCGCGACCATCGCCGACGCTGCCGAGGCTGCCTTCTCCAAGTACTACGATACTCTTATGCCTCTGTTGGTCAGTGTCTTGCAGAGAGAAAACGACAAGGAGTTCCGCCTTCTCCGTGCCAAGGCTATGGAGTGCGCTACGCTGATCGCACTGGCTGTCGGCAAGGAAAGACTCGGCCAAGATGCCATGACTCTTGTCCAGCTCCTTGCCTCCATTCAGCAAAACATTACCGATCCTGATGACCCTCAGGCGCAATATCTGATGCACTGCTGGGGCCGTATGTGCAGAGTCCTCGGCCAGGAGTTCCTTCCCTTCCTGCCCAACGTCATGCCACCTCTTGTCGAGCTCGCTAGCGCCAAGGCCGACATTCAGCTCCTGGATGACGACGACCAGGTCGAGCAGATCCAGCAGGAGGATGGTTGGGAACTCGTCCCTCTCAAGGGTAAGATGATTGGAATTCGGACGAGCACCATGGAGGACAAGAACATGGCCATTGAGCTCCTTGTCGTGTACGCCCAGGTGCTCGAGGGAAGCTTCGCCCCTTACGTGGCCGAGATTATGGAAAAGATTGCCCTCCCTGGTCTGGCCTTCTTCTTCCACGACCCCGTCAGATTCATCTCGGCCAAGTTGGTGCCTCAGCTTCTGAGCTCCTACAAGAAGACGTACGGCAGCCCATCAAATGAGCTCGCCGGGCTCTGGGCTGCGACTGTGGACAAGCTTCTCGAGGTGTTGACCGCGGAACCTGCGATTGATACTCTTGCCGAGATGTACCAGTGCTTCTACGAGTCTGTTGAAGTCATTGGCAAGGAGTGCCTCACCGCCGATCACCTCTCTCGCTTCATTGACTCAGTCCACTCTGCCATTGAAGACTACAAGGACCGTGTCGCTCAGCGTCTCGAGGATAAGGAGGCCCTCGGCGCCGAGGATGTGGAAGACGAAGCCGAGGACGTTTTGTTGGCCATCGAGGACGATCAGACGCTCCTGTCTGACATGAACAAGGCCTTCCACGCCATCTTCAAGAACCACGGTGCTGCCTTCCTCCCATCATGGGAACGCCTGCTCCCCACTTACGAGGGCTTCCTCAAGTCGGAAGACCCTACACAGCGCCAATGGGGTCTCTGCATCATGGACGATGTGCTGGAGTACTGCGGCACCGAAAGCCAAAAGTACGCCAACCTCATCACCCAGCCCCTGGTTGATGGCTGCAGGGACTCGTCGCCCGCCATTCGCCAGGCTGCGGCCTACGGTATTGGTGTGGCTGCTCACCGCGGTGGTCATCCTTGGGCTCAGTTTTTGGGAGGTGCCCTACCTTTCCTCTTCCAAGTGACGCAGGTTCCCGAGGCGCGGAGCGAGGACAACGTCTACGCAACGGAGAATGCTTGTGCTGCCATTGCCAAGATTCTTCACTTCAACGCCGGCTCAGTTCAGGATCCCAACAACGTCGTGGCTCAGTGGATCGAGACCCTTCCCGTCACGAATGACGAGGAGGCCGCACCTTACGCCTACGCCTACCTGGCAGAATTGATTGACAAGTGAGTACATTTCCAAGACATGGGAAGTTGATTATGACTGATACTAATTCGTGATTTCAGGCAACATCCGGCTGTCGTTGGCCAGGCTGGCAAGATCTTTGTGCTCACTGCACAGGCTCTGGAGGCAGACTCTCTGGCAGGACAGACCGCAAGCCGCGTAGTACTCGCCATCAAGGCTCTTCTGTCCCAGGCAGGCGTTGACCCCACACCGCTGCTCCAGCAGTTCTCGCCCGAATCTCAACGAGCGATCACTTCGTACTTCTCTTAGGAGATGAATATGCGCATGAAATACTAGGGCGACGTGTTGCACACACCCGTAACGAAGAGGAAGCGCCGAGAACGCCGCGGACCGCTGTACTAGAAGAGGAGCAGTCGATGATACCACAAGCACCGAAAGGTTAGGGAGGGGTCCTATGAGGCACGAGAATAGTGCTGGACTTGGATAGCTGCTGAAGCAGACTCGGAGCCAAGGTCCGGCCTAGGCCGATTTCGGTGGCAAAAGCAGAGGACACAGTGAGGGATGGACATTGTTGTTGTAAGAGGGCTCAGTTCGACTGACCCCTCGTTTTTATCATTAACCAGTCCCCTCCTCCATGGCGCCATTAGTGATGCCGATATGATGATATAGAGGAGTGGTTGTTTTACAAATAGAAATTCACGCAGATGAGATATGGCCCCATGACACAAAATGTCAATCGAAATATGAAGAATATTCGTTTTGACTTGAATAAGGACGTGTTGGTGATTTCCAAACGCCGTCATGGAATACTATCAAACCTGACATAAAGGAAACGGTAGAGCCTCCAACCGGGGAGCGGCTTTATGGAACGACGGAGCAGCACAAGAGACGAGGAGACGAAAGGGACTGGATGAAGAATACGATATTGCCCGCGCCATCGTGCCTTTGCCCACTCACGCCTTTTTCAGCATTCAGGATACTGGCGTTTTTAAAACTTCGAAGCAAAACTGAACGAGCTGAGCACCGGAAATGGCAATCTCGAAAGAAAGATACCCCGTAGCGGCAATGCCTGTACGCCCAAACGCCTTGAGTGGTGGCGTATGGGTCTCAGCTTTCTAGACCTAGTTTTGTGTACGATAATGGGTGACTTGCTAGCATCTCGGGCCTTGTTCTTTTGAGGTTGGAGCTGGAGCTGGAGCTGGAAGCTGGAGCTGGAAGCTGGAGCTGGAAGCTGGAAGCTTGAAGCTCGATATGGACTGGACACGCGGGGGCTATGGAATGATGGCGCTGCAGCTTGGTGTAGCTGAGATGGATGTATCGAACCATGTCTTTTTTGAGAGTCTTGGATGAGGCTGAACTGAGGGAGGGGAGTTTACGGACGATGATGAGTCACTCTTGCTCTTTGGGGGTAGTCTTCAAACTTCTCTCTAACTCTTTCTCGACATTCTGGCCAAGGTCTTGTTCCGCACTCTAGGACGAACCTCTCTCTCTCTTTCTCTCAGCCGATATAATGGCATTATGTTCCTGAGACAAGCACATACGACCACACCCATCGGAGAATTCGGGATCCCGTCCGCTCTCCCATAGACAAGCCGATGAGGGCCAGATTAGTAGTTGAGTCGGTGACGATCAGCGAATACCTGGTGTTGTATGTTTTTGTTTGTTTTCTTTTGGGATCGGGGCAAAAGGTTTGTGCATGTTGCTATGTACGGCGTAGCTGCGCGCCTACCCGGCTCAGAAATCGAAATGAGGCGCCATCTTCTCTTAGTCTCTTGGTGTAAGCAAGAGGTTTGGTCGACATTTTTGGGCTTTTGGAAATTTCGGGGGGGGGGGGGGGGGGGGGAAGAGAGATGTACTCAATAGCCACTGGCCGACATCTGACGAAATTCCTCTTCTTCTTCCTCAGCTCCGTATCGGTTCGGTTGGCTTGGTTCATTTGTGTTTGACAGGTCTTGCCATCTCGGAAGTCAAGTTCACGTTCACGTCAAGTCGAGTCGGACCGGGAAGGGGTGTCGGATTAGGTCCCTTTTTTTTTTTCTTTTTTTTTTTTTTTTTTTTCGTGCTTCTTAACTCCCGTCATTTCGTTGGAGATGGCGGGGAGGCGGAGGGAGAAGCGTGAATTCTTGGTGTTACCGCATTCTCTTTCTGCATCGATTGTGAGAATGCCATGCTGGGTATGGGGATCTGTGTGTTACTGTTACTCGGGAGATTGATTGCTTGTCCGTCGTACAGAGACACAGACATGTCCGTCGATTTCTGGAGATGACGAGGCATGTTATAATCGGATCATATACACTGCCTACGGTTTATCTGGGCTGTACGAGGGATGCTGTTGTGTTGCTCATCAACGGTTCTCTTGCATTTGTGATTCCCGAGCTTTTCGTTGCCCCGTCGGAAAGCGCACTGAAGAGCAGCCTCTCTGAAGGAACAGGCACGTCAGGTTACGGTTGGGGGTTGAAGACGGAGGGGAGGTGCTAGTGATGCATGCCCGTTTATGGTATCTTTAACTACGCGTGGGTGCAGCTTCAGCTTTGCTGCAGGGAGAAGTATAGTTGACCTCCAACCGTTGCGTTATCACGCTTGTGCTAGCAGACAATAAGTCTCTGTATAATCCTCCAATACCCGTAAGGGGTAGAGTTCGCCTACACATGACTTGGTAATGAGACTGAACTTATGGAAAGGGTTTAGAAGGCGCATCTCAGTGAATAGAGGCGTTACTATCAACTTGCAAATGTGGTGTCTAGCAGAACTCGCAAGACATATTGTTGAGGTATGCTCGTTCTTTTGCTGATCTTGACTGCTTTAGGGGTGTCTGGTGGGCGGGCGGGCGTCACATGGCAGACCACAGGTGTGCGCTGTTGAGTGCTTCGTAGACTTCGTAGTGGCGGTCGGCTGGAGGTCTCATGTGGCGCCGAGACGTAGGACACAGCAGGCACAAGTTCGAACAAACAGCCTGGAGGGGGGAAGGAAGAGCTTGGAGCACCTCAAGTCAGCTTGGAGTAATGAAGTGTAGAGCGAGGCTGCCCGAGGGGCTGGCCAGTAGGCTGCCGCCGAGTCAGGACCTTTGTTAGCGATCTATACGGCGGAGGGAACGACGGGTAGATCGTGGAATAAGCATCATGAAGGTTTTTGTGTGAGACGACGGGTGGTGGCATGTCTGCATGTTTGGTGGTTACCCGGTTTCGGGCCGCTGCCCAGGCTTGCCAGAAGTCCAGAACTGCTGAGTCTCCGCGAAAGGATCAAAGGAGACATTGGGGCGCGTGGCAGAGTGCCAGAGAGGCTCGATCGCCGATGACAAGATGGGAATCGGAGTGGAGGATGGGAGATCGTGTCAATGCATTTTTAGAAATGGAGAATTGGGAGAAACCCTAGGCGCGTGGTCTCTAGTCTATCCGCTAGGGGAGATGAAATGGGGAATGGACTTTTGCTCAAGTTTCCTCCTCTCCTGCTGCAGTCCGTAGCAAGTGGTGCCGTAGTTGGCGGGCAGCAAAGATGGGATGGGACCAACGGTTCGTTTTGCAGCTCGAGCTTGGGTGCAGTTGACTTGTTTGTGTCCGTACTGGTAGTGTATGAATGTGGTCGGTGGTGGTGAGCACGTCAAGACCTCCGGGAGTCATGTCAAGGGGGTGGGAGACTTTCCTTGGGAGTTGGTGCCGGAGCTGTTTTGGTTGGTCTGGTGTGTCAGGACGGGACTCAGGACTCAGAGTCGGGACAAATTTAAGGCTGTCCAAGCCTCCAAGGCCCCCAGGAGAAATGACGAAATGGATTTCTGCTGGGAAAAAGTCAATTTCTGTCCGTGCTTGTCCCGCTCGCATGTCCATCCCTGCCTGTCGTGGTGTTCGCAGTAAGCACCGTTTTCAGTGTCGGTACGGACTACAGATGATTCTACTTCGTAAGGAAGGCCGGGTAAAGTTAGGGCACTGATCAAACCGTAGGTAATACTCTGGGGATAAGGGCATGATGGAGTAATATCTACAAGTCGATATAGAGGCAAGGTTGGATGGGACAAGCAAATTCTCATCAGGTGCAATCATGGGAAAGTGTGGCGGCCCGTTTATTGGCTAGATGGAGCAGGTACGTATCCTGATCCTGTCGCATCTCCCTCCATTCAGCGTCCGTTTTGGATGCAGGGGTGGGTCATATTCTCCACTTGTGCGGCACATCAAAAGAACCTGATAATGAAGAGAGCCCTATGCATATCAAGAAGTATCGATGGCGTATCCTGACCTAGCATCCCCATATGGTGACGAAAGAGGTTTCTCTCGAGCACGATTGGCGTTTTCTTGTGGCATGGTAGGCGCATACCATTTGCTACTGGCATTCTTCAGATGCACACTCTGGAGGTCTTGGGAGAGTCTTGCGGCTTGCGGCTTGCGGCTTGCTGCTTGCTGTCGGCGCATTCTCATAGGCAAGAACGAGACCGTCAACTTACCTTACGTGCTTACAATAGTAGTGGGGGGGTTTGAGTTGAGCCTGCCACGCTCCCACGAGATGCGGCATGCCATGCACACAAGGTAAGGTACGGATACCTCCCGAGTCCCGTCAGCCACGGAACCACGATGCGGATACCTTGGACACTGCAGCATGAGCATCTTCAACATTCCACCCATCTCTGCCACGGCCGAAGAATCGGAACACCACAGATCCAAGACGGATGGCAGCCTCTTGACCGGCCTATTTCCATAAACTTCCTCTCGTTCCGCCCCAGCTAGCCGCAATGTTCAGACAGTCTCTCCAGTCAGTCACCCTGGTGCTGCGGCCTGCCATGCGCACTAGGTATTGCAGTGTCACATTTCGCCCACCGGCTCTGATCCGTATGTACATACTTCGTAGTCACATAGGGCACAGCGCTCGGCACACCATTTCAACCATCTGGGACTATCTGGGTCTTTTTATTTTATTTTATTTTTACTTCTGGCGGATCTGAACTTCCCAGTAGAGCAGTTCTCCAGAATAGCCATGCCGTGATGATTTCTTACCTGCATCTACACTAAGGTATTGCAATAATAGAGAGGCAACTGGGACCCTGTCTGGACTGTCAAGCCCCATCGCCATCACGTGCCCCGTGAAACCAAAGTTGCTGTACTTTACGGATACGGTGAAGGCCAAGAACTGAGGAGAAGGACAGAGAACGGGGCCTTGGCCACTGGTGGGTATCACTTAACAAGTCTACAGAAGCTCAAGCCACCCCAAGCGGAGGAGCACCTCTTCTACACACCACCCGTGTAAGGTGCACGGGCCAATTGTGCACTCGTTATATGGGGAAAAAACACAAAAGCCGCCGCAGCAACCTCAAATCTAGAGATAATTGAAATCTGACTACAGAAATCGAAGAATTAGGGCAAATTCAGTCTAGTGGCCAATGCTCAGGTCAAGTGCACTGGGGTGGGCGTCGTGCACTTACCTCTTTTTAACTGAATAAGTGTTGGGTAAAATGACTTTGACATGGAGAAGTTGGATTTTTCCCGCCCGCACGTGACCATGAGTAGGTCCCAGGCGTGCACGTAGTAGGAGGCGTCATGGTGGTGGTCCGAGCTTCTGTAGACCTGTTAAGTGATACCCACTGGTGTCGTACAACCTTAGCAGAGATGTGCCATGCCGGAGATCCCAAGGCCGGCATGCCCTGTCTCGGTGCTCTTCCTCCGGCGACGACTCACAGAGGAAAATAGGGTAGGCAAAACCTCGCGTCGCCAAAACATGCCGGATCAGCACGGGCAAGGAAAGGCAAGGTAGGTAGGTAGGCGACTCCAGAAGTCCAGGGACCTCGTCTCGTTTCCTCCCGGCGTCCGTCGCTACCCAAACGCGCCGAGTCTTCCAATGTAAACCCAACCTGGACATGGCACCTAGCATCCCCGGTCCACTCCAGGGTACCGGGCTCTTCCTTTCAAGATGGCAGTCGCCGTGACTGTCCGCTCTTTCGCCCTTCATGCTGCCCGCCCATGTCCAAGGTAGGGTAAGCGGACGCCAGGTGAGCCAAGTACCTTTGCGACGTAATTAGGTACCTCCCAGCCCTGAGGTGTTGCAAGAGGAACATTGCGATACACGTCCGCCGGCCCGTGGGCCTTGCTGCCATGCCGCCCCCAATCACGTCTCTCTCTCCTCCCCTCGCCTCTCCGTCCAGTGTCCACCACTACTACGTAAGGTACACAGCTACGTACCTCACTGGCATACTGGAATCAACCACCGAGAACATCCATCAAACTCCATCTTCCCTCCCCGCAACAAAGCCAATCTGGGTCCTTTCCCACGACTGTTTCTCACGTCTGCTCCCACCACCTCCGGGCTGCGAATCCACCGACGCCCAATCCACCGACACGACGCCCAATTCTTCGACACGATCCGACATCAACAACCCACGACGACAACTGCCGCCGTCGCCCAGTACATCACTTTTCTGCCTCGCCGTCCCCAAGCGACGACCGCCCTCTGCTCCGTTCCGCTCTTCACCAACCCCGAAAACCCGACGACCGATACGCATCTGGCCGACGTTCAATTGCCGGTACCCTACCTGCTTTTCCCGCAGTCCACGGCGGCCACCCCCCTTCTCACAACTTTTGCAATACATGCGCTGGTCCGAGACAAGAGGCCGAGGATTGTGACGCGATATCGCACCCCCGACCGTATGCACCGGTGGCACTATTTAAGCCGGCGCCTCGGGAGAGAAAAGTACAAGCTGGACGACTGAACCACTGCGTTGCGACTCGACACCACTCGACGACGACTTCCTGCACCCAACCACCACCGACTGATACGACGACACGACACGACACGACGACTGGCCCACTATCGACGACAAGGTCCTTGGGACACCGATGCGATCGCCATGGAGGCCTTTTACCCACAGCTCACTCCCCAAGAGCTGCAGCGACAGATGTCGCAACAGTCTCAGCAACGCCAGATGCAGGGCCAAGGCCAAGGACGCGGTCACGCCTATCACCAAATGAATCAAGGTCATGGCATGACAATGATGGGTGGCAACGGCGACTCGCTCGACGACATTATCAACAGTAACAACCATGAAATGCAACGGCGCCGCAGCATACACCAACCATACATGCCCTCAAACCAGAACACACAAAATGCCGGCGCCGACAGGAGGATGTCCATGATGGAGTTCGGCGCTGATGATAATCAGATGCTCAATTATCCTTTCCAGAACCCCGCCATGAATGGCGAGTTCTCTAATATGGCCGGCCAGATGGGCAACGGCATGAATGGCGGCATGGACGGCGGTATGACGAACAACGGAGGGATGGGCAATAGTGTTCCCGGAAACATTTCCATACCTGGAGGCATGGATGCGTACTCTACCCAAGACGGGCTGCAGATGTCGCCGACAAATGCATTCAGCACCTTTTCTCCCGATATGATGAGCTCGATGATGCCCCCGGCGTACGCAAACATGGCTATGCCGACGACATCGAGTATGAATATGTACGGCCAAACATCCATGGCCAACGCTTTCCCGAGCCCATTGAACACCACTGCCAACGACATGACCATGGACCTAGGGGCCGATGAAACACCCGGAACAGCACCACAGTCTGCCCTCCCTACGCCGCTAGATATCGACAACGTAGACAACGAGGCTATGAGTATGGGTCAGCAACAATATCAGACGCCGGCAGAAACCTCGAATAGGGCCATTTCACAAGTTCCCAAGTTCGGCTCCGTTTCAAGCGGTCCTCAGACAACTCCGTCAACATTATCCCGCGAAGTGTCAATCAACTCTGGCAAGACTTCTTCGCAGTCCCCCAACAACCGATCATCGTCCATGACAACGAGCCAGACAGCAGCCTCTGCTGCACCTACCGCAACTGCAGAGACTACTCCGGCTATGGGACCTCAAACCCCTCGTGCAGAGTCCAAGGAGAAGAATCTCTACTCAAAGAGCGGCTTCGACATGATGCGGGCGTTATGGTATGTCGCTACAAGAAAGGATCCCGAGATCCATCTAGGCGCCGTAGACATGTCTTGCGCATTCGTGGTCTGCGACGTGTCACTCAACGACTGCCCTATTATTTACGTCTCTGATAACTTTCAGAACTTGACGGGGTACAGCCGCCATGAGATTGTTGGCCAAAATTGTCGATTCTTACAAGCTCCCGACGCCAAGGTTGAAGCTGGTTCCAAGCGTGAATTTGTGGACGACGCGTCGGTCTACAATCTCAAGAAGAAGATTGCGGAAGGCCGTGAGGTTCAGCAAAGTCTGATCAACTATCGCAAGGGCGGCAAGCCTTTCCTCAACCTTTTGACAATGATTCCAATTCCTTGGGACGACCCCAATGAGGTGCGATTCTTCGTCGGTTTTCAGATCGACCTAGTTGAGTGCCCGGATGCCATCTCTCAGGGCCAGGATGCAGGAGGTGTCAAGGTCAACTACAAACATAGCGACATTGGCCAGTATATTTGGACGCCTCCGAACCAAAATACCGTCGAAGCCGAAAACGGACAGACATTGGGTGTCGACGATGTGTCTACCCTGCTGCAGCAGTTCAACCCCAAGGGTGTGGTGTCGGACTGGCACAAGCAATCCTGGGATAAGATGCTGCTCGAAAATACCGACGACGTTGTTCATGTCCTTTCACTCAAGGGGCTGTTCCTCTACCTTTCACCCTCCTGCAAGAGAGTCCTGGAGTACGATGCGACAGAGCTGGTAGGGAACTCTCTTTCGACCGTATGCCACCCCTCCGATATTGTGCCCGTCACCCGTGAACTCAAAGACGCCACGGCGGGTAATTCGGTCAACATCGTCTTCCGCATAAGGCGGAAGCAAAGCGGCTACACGTGGTTCGAAAGCCACGGCTCATTATTTTTCGAACACGGAAAGGGTAGAAAATGCATCATTCTGGTAGGGAGAAAACGACCCGTTTTCGCATTGAGCCGGCGAGACCTAGAAGCACACGGAGGCATCGGCGACAGCGAGTTGTGGACCAAGATCTCGGTATCCGGCATGTTCCTCTTCGTGTCTTCCAACATCCGGTCTTTGCTCGACTTACAGCCAGACACTCTGATAGGCACTAGCATGCAAGAGCTCATGCGCAGGGAGAGTCGTGCCGAATTTGGCCGAGCAATCGAAAAGGCAAGGAGAGGCAAAATAGTGACATGCAAACACGAGGTCCATAACAGGAGAGGACAGGTACTTCAGGCACAAACGATTTTGTACCCTGGAGATGCCTCAGATGGTCAGAAACCCACGTTCTTGTTAGCGCAGACCAAGCTCCTCAAAGCATCATCGAGGACCATCGCGCCGGCGGCTACACCCCCTGGAAGCGTCAAATCGACCTCCCAGATCAACCAAAACCTACAACTCACAGCACCGAATACTGATCTCACAAAGGCCGGTCCGTTGTCGTTACCAGGCGGTCAAGCGATGCCGGGCTCTCAGGATGCTGCTCTCGCTTCGGAAGACAACATTTTTGACGAGCTGCGGACGACCAAGTGCTCCAGCTGGCAATTCGAGCTACGCCAGATGGAGAAGGTCAATAGGATTCTCGCCGAGGAACTGGGCGGTCTATTATCAAACAAGAAGAAGAGAAAGAGGAGAAAGGGTGTAGGCAACGTCGTCCGGGACTGCGCCAACTGCCATACGCGCAATACGCCCGAGTGGCGACGAGGTCCTAGTGGTCAAAGAGACCTCTGCAACAGCTGCGGTTTACGCTGGGCAAAGCAGGTGAGAAGCGCCGAGCCCTCTGTAGTAAGCCGAGCGGAGGACGACGATGTTAATCAGGATTAGGTTGGACGGGTTTCGCCGCGCAATTCGTCTCGAGGAGGCGCAAACACCAACGCAGACGCACTCAGTAAGAAGTCGAACTCACCAATACACTCGTCTCAGCTCCAAAACGAAGTCAAGGCAAACAACAGTACGCCAGCGAGACCCAGCGACGGTTCATCAGGGAATGGTACACCTGCCACTTCCGTTTCCGTCTCTAAAAGTCACCAAGGCATGCCCCCTCCGAGCCAGCCTCTTCTCGAAGGCGGTAGTGGCGGCGGAATGACATCCATACGGGAATAAGGAGAGAGCGACGACGATGCACACTCGCCCATTCACCTTGCTCAGAACTCAGATACTATCATTCCGAACGCACGTCCTTTCTGTCGAGATACCATTATACTTTCGTTTCTTAAGGTCTTGTGGCGATGGCCTGGTAATATCTAGTGCCTAGAAGCGGCGCCAACAAGATGGTTGATTTCCCCCCGGCGATTTTTCTTGAACATTTCTAGGACTTTTGACATTTTCTCTACATAAGGTACACTCATCGTCCTGGGACGGGGTGTCAGAACGCAGATCTTTTTTTGTTCGGGTGATTTATCAGTCACTCGCTGTTACGGCCGAAACTGACCAGCTTGCGATACCACACCGACATCATTTTGGGTAGATTGGCATCATGAGTTTTCTACTTACCTTCTGGGGATGGGGGAAAGGGCAGCCAAAACAAAAAGCAGCCTTCCCTGTTACTCCAGTGGTTGGTTTTTAATCTGGTCTCGGATCTTTCTGTTGTAGGAGGTGCTGGCTAAGGATGAAATTTTGCGGAGCGGAATTGGGCTTAGAAAAGAAGCGATCAAGCATTTATGAAGGCCGGATTGGTTGGAAGCGGTGTTTTTCTTTCTTCGTCTACTTTCTTCCACACCCTATCGCGCTTGCCACTGGATTCTCGTCGGGATAGACCTGCTTGGGTACATGGCGGATCAGCTGTGGGAATGGTGGGTGATTGAGGCAGATGGGAGATGGGCGAGTGGATGCGAATCACGCGGCCATTTGGCCTTGGTGTTGGCCATTTATACGAAACGGAATGTAGCTGAATGAGACATACCCCATGGATTTTGAATGAAGATCTCTTGAATGCGTCTGCTGTGGACGTGATGCCTGTGGTGAGTGCCATATCATGTATGGCAGGTGACGATATTGCTCTAGTCCAGTCTTGTTGTGCCTGGGTTCTGCCCACCCATTCATGCGGCGACGGTGTCTTGGACTTGCTGTGAGTATTTTACTGCGATGTAGCAAATTTTGGGTTCTTTCCTCTTAAGACACGTATGTTTAGAAGTCGGTCTGGGCCATGGGCCTTGAGAGCGGCAGCCTTGTCAGCCTCGGCCTCTCTCTTTTTTGGGCTCAAGAGGTGTATTGTCTTGGCTACGTGTGTTTGTACTGAGTTTATCCGTCATTGATTTGAGATGTACCTGTGAGGCGATGGGTATGTTGACTTTGGTGTCATTGGTGAGTCGTCTCCAGTGCTGGTACATGATGGAGTGGGAGGTGGTATCAATGAGTAGAAATAGGAAGAGGAAGATAAAGCGGATATCGAAGCGAAGAGTGACTTTCGATGAAGGAGGAGGAAGATGGAGATGAGAAGGAGTTTTCTGTTGGGAGATGGTATACTTCCCGATATTGTCGTCGGCGTGGGATCATGAAAGGGACATGGAGATTATAAGAGACGTGTAATCAAGAGAGCATAGTCAAAGTGCAAGAAGCCCGATTCGACGGTTGAACAACGAGATACTCAACTTTATGCTTCACATTTCCCACCTGGATTCATGGGCATACAGTCAATCATAGGGAGGCATAACAAGTTCAGTGAACAGAATGTATTTGCAAAGAATTATCAAAGAAAAGGCATTTTATGCCCCGCCGGCGCATTTTATGCTCACCAGCCTGGGAGAAAAACGGTCATACCGAGATAATCGCGTTCAAAAAAAAACTCCCCATCGCCCACTTCTCCCTCCCCGAGTCCACAGGGCCAGAACCGTCTTTCAGGTCCTGCGTACCCCTCCCATATACCGGTCCTCCCCAATGCCCAAGCTGTAGAAAAATCTGGTTGCTGCCTTTCGGCTGAGCGAACGCAGAAAAGACTATAAGCAAGGGGGGGTTGAAGAGGGGGGAAGAGAAGAGGGTTTAAAAAGGCTGGTCACGAATGACTCAGCGGGTGTACTCGTAGTTGCCCACCTGGTTCCCCCAGACCCCGTTGTATTGGTACTGGCCCAAGGCTGCAGTGTAGGAGGAGGCCTGAGGGAATTGAGGGCGGTAGGCGGGTGCGGCGGCGGCGGCGGCGGCGGCGGCAGAGAGAGCAGGTGGCGTGGGGATCTGGGCGCCGAACTGACCCATTGCGCTGCCGGCGAAGCTATTGGCGTCTCCGTGTAATACGGGGCGAATAGGAGCAGGCGCAGGGATGACGGGAGGAGGACTGACCGAGGCGCTCCGGAGGATAGCTTGGGCGATGACGGGTAACAGCGCCGGGTTGAGCTTTCCTACCAGGGTGCCGATCTGCTCTGCGTCTGCTTGCTCCTCTGGGGTCACTGGTGCCGAGGTCTCTGGTGGGGGACTTGGCGGAGGGGTGACTGCTGCTGCCGGGGGGAGAGAGACGACGGAGGAGGAGGCTGGCAGGGTCCAAGAGGGGACGTAGGGCCTACTCTCGCGGCGTGTCCTCTTTGCAGAGCGAGGCGCCTCTGCGCCGAGCGGTGTGAGCGGCTGCTGCTGCTGCTGCTGCTGCTGCTGCTGCTGTTGCTTCGCGTCCATATCGAAGACAAAGTCATCCAGAGCGTGGCAGGTAAGGCGGCCGTCCCATGCCGGGTTGTGGAGGAACCGCGGGTCGCGCCAGGTGGAGTGGGCGGACTCGGCGAAGTGGTAGACCTCGACGACCCAGCCGTTTGCGAGGGCGGATTGCACCGCGGCGGGGAAGCCCCCTTCCATGTCGCCGTCGAGGTTGCCGTCGCCCGTGGCGAGGATCATGGTGCCGGGCGCGCCGAGGTTGTCGAGGACGGTCTTGCGCATGTGGTGCTGGACCGTCTCGTCTACCCCCTGCTCCTTCATCGCGAAGGAGCCCGCGTGGGGAGAGTCTGCGGGAACCCGCTGGAGGACCTTTGCGGTGTAATCACACGCTTCGGCCTCCTGCAGGTAGAGGGGGATAGACGAGGAGAGGGGCCTGTTGTTGCTGTTGCTGCTGGCCTTGCTGCGGGAGCCGACGACGACGCCCTCCTTGACCTCTCTGCCGCGTTCGAGTATTCCCCTGAATGCGTAGAAGGAGAAGGCGGAGGTGGAGAGGCGCTGGTCCCTGGACATGCCCATGCGCTTCTTGAGGTGGTTGAAGAAGGAGACGCTGATGTTGGAGCCGTCGGCGTAGACGTAGAGACCGCGGGCGGATTGCTCCGGGTACGTCTCTGTCTGGACCTCGTCGCGAGCGCCGAAGCGCTGCTGGAGGCGGACGGGAAGGGGCACTTGGGAGGTGGGAAGGGGTCTCTTTGCCGTCTGCTTGTTGAAGAGCCTTTCTCCCGCGTTGTCTGGGCTGGGGGCGGCGGCGACTGCTGCTGCTGCTGCTGCGGCGGCGTTGGAGGAGTCGGAATGGTAGCCCGAGTCTGAAGAGGCTCGAGCTACCTTTCCGCCGGCGGCTGCAGCGGCCTTCTTGCCCACGTCCTTGGACTCGACCTTTGATCTTTTGATCTCGGTCAAGTCCAAGGACTGGTAGTTGCGCTTGGTGCCCGTTCTGGCCATTTCTTCAGTGGTGAATAAAAACGGGGGGAGGAGAAGAAGGGGCTGAGACTGTTTGCTTGACGTGCTCTTGCTGTCGCAGAGAGGCTCAAAACAGTGTAATGAAGAAGAATAAACTCTGTCTGATAGAGGGAGAGTAGGTGTAGTTGAAGAGGAAGTTTGGTTGACTCGGAGATTCTTGAACAACTTCGTGAAGTCGCCTAAAGTGTTGGATGGTTGTTTGATAGGAGACGAAGATGAAGATGAGTGAGATGTATCGGCTAGGCCCGAGGACTGCAGAGAAAGGATTGAGAAGTCCATTTTATAATATATTGGCGTGGAAAGTTAGAGGAACCCTTTTGATACGAGAGCAAGTTGCTTTGGCTGAGGACACGGGATGTCCTTTGGTGATAGTCAAAGTACCGGGGACTCTCTTGGAATCCCGGTCAAAGGGTCGGATGTTGTAATTGTCTCCTTCCTAGCGCCTTCGAGCCGTAGCGGGAAGGTGATTGAGTTTGGCAAGAGTGTGGTATCGACCATGAAACTCATCGGAGATAGCAACCTCTGCCGTGGACGTCCACCTTGAGGTTGGCCGTAGATGTCGATTGAGAGCCGGACCGGGGTCTCGCTAGCCAGGATTCACGATGGAAGGTTGGTTCTGGCTTGTTCTCGTGACTCTCAAAGTTTTCAAGATGCCGTGTCTCTTTGCCAACCGGGTCGAGGGCAGAGGGGCAGAGGAGGGGTTCGATCCGATATTAGGGCTTTGGCGAGGCCCGGTTGTCGATGTAGTCTTTGGTACTGGCCTGAATGGCCCAAGTACACTCTCAGTTCTAGGGTTTGCAAGTGGGCCGTAAGTCTTGAATGAACGGGTTGCTGAAAAGGTCGAGAAGAGATTCCGAGCGTTGTGTCGGATAGTGTGTCGGATGGTGATGAGGCGTAGTTGTCTACAGCCTTGAGTTTCTTGCTTGGTGTCCCCAGGTTGATGTTTTGCAGATGATGGCCCAATGTTGGCAGGTTCTCAACGAGTAAAGCTGCCAAGAGAAAGACGGAGATATGGAAACTTCAATCGTATACAATGGGAGCGGCGAGAGCTCAATTGTCGATAGTCTCGATTCCGTCCTGATTCGGTTTCCTCAATTGACAACTGAGAATCCGAAGTGACCAGGTATCTCAACCAGCAAGGTGACGGAGAGAGCCAGACAAGAACGAGCTGCGGGGGTATCGGAAGTCGTACCGGGGCGTAGCAGTCGTAAAGTCCTTCTAGATATCCGAACGTAAACGCCGACGCCACCCAAGATGCTACGGATGACTATGCAAGAAAGAGAACACCTGGAGAACTGTGGATGGGCTCAAACCGAGAGAGACAAGCACAGCAAGGTGGGGGAAAAAAGCAAAGACTTTGAATTTCAAGTCCTGATCCGACGACAAGAAGGACGGGTTCCGACTTGGTTGAAGAACGCCACGAAACGAAATGCTTCAATTAGAACAGACGCAAATGAGAACTAAGTTGGGCGGATGAGCGGTTGACGGATCGGATGCGTGAGTCGGTTTCCTCGGGGTGCAAGAGGGTGAAGAATATGTTTACTCGCGGATTATGAGAGAGAGAGAGAGAGAGAGAGAGAGAGAGAGAGAGAGAGAGAGAGGTAAGATGAGAGATGAAGTCGAAAGTAAGAAGGCGAAAGGCGCAGTGAAGCGGTTATGAGAGAAGAAGAGGTGAGAGGTGAAGTCGGAACTGAAGTCGAGAACGTCAGCGAATCAGTCGTAGCCGCCTTTGGGAGAGAGAGAGAGGCTCAATTGGCGTGCTGCGCTGCATTTGCCCCCCTCACCCACGCGAATCGGTTCGCCCAAAGGAAAGGGTCCGATCTCTGGTGAAAGTGGGCGGCACGGGCACAAACGTCCGCTCGGGTCGGACGGCGGGGAGGGCAGATACTCTATTCGATGCACTAACATTTAGGACGTGTATATAGAGGAGCAGAGTCTTCGTTTGATGACTGTTAAGAGATTCAAGGCATCGATTGGGTGACAATAGTCATATAGAGAAGAATAGCGTTCATTTGGTTGATTCTATAAATATCTACGTCGAATCTCGTCAGAAGTAGGATATCTGAATGGTAGGGACATTGGCCAAGATTCAAGTGGTAGAGTCACATAAGCCGGCACATGACTTTAGGGGGCGAATCAGATCTGCGCTAGTGCCCCTGGTTGGGCCTGGCTTTTGCCTGTCGGGTTCGCTGCACTGGCGCTGCACTGAAGCTTGCGTTTGATTGGTGAGAGATCTGTTTAATATGGGGTAGGGGTCCTGAGGCAAAAATGTCAAAAAACCACGAAAGAAGCATAGAAGTTTTTACGCCCATAGCCGGAGGAACTCGGCCGGGCCGCTCCCTCGACCGGCGCAGGGACAGCCGCCAGCCAGCCAGCCATTCACAAAGCTTGGTCTCCTGGTTCGGCCTTTCAGAGGCCTCGAAGGACGAGGTTTTGGAGGGTGCATGGTGATGAAGACTGGGTCATGGTTTGGCGAGCTCATGATTCTGTATCAACTTTTGGAATTGAACCGTGGCTCAACACACTTCTTGAATCAGCACACCTAGATAGACACCAACGTCATCATAGAATGACACACTGATTAACAATTCAAGAGGTGTCCTTTACAGACGTTCACCTCAGCCAGAGTCAGGCTGGTGGACATGTTTGCAAATAACGGGGAGCTCTGAATACTGTTCCGTCTCAATTGTGCGAATTAGGTACTTGAACGGGCATCATGATGCCCTGACAATGATAATCTTTTTTTATGATACAATGAGCCATTTGTTTCCCCCTTCAAAACTCCAAAAAAAAGCCAATAGGTATCACAGCAGTCCGACCCGCCGAAAACTCCGCTCCCTTTCTACCCAGGAGATCGATCAATCCTCCCTACGCAAGGCCCTTACAATCGAAGGATCAGGAAGCAGGGACGATGTCGATTAGAATACACGTTTGATGTTGCTCAATCCGGTTACTTCCCCATCAGTGAGCAGGCTTGGGCGTGCGTAGACTGGAGTGGACAAAGTAAATGTCTTCCAGGTAATTGGCACGCTTGGCCTCGTCGGCTCGCTCCTCCTCTTCCTCCAACTCCTTTCTGGTCTTCTTGCGGCGAGCGGCGCGCTGCTCCCTCATGAGGCGGTCATGTTCGTCCAGGTCACCCTCGTCGCGCATGCGCGTGGTCTCCTGGGCGTGCGCTTCGACGTAGCGGACGAGGGAATCAGCGGCCCAGTCGCGCAGCTCATCTCCCGTCTTGCCCTTGGCAGGCTCGGTGACCTTGTCAAGGGCCATCTTGACCTTGAGCTCCTTCTGCTTGGCGACGGCAAAGGGTTTTGCGCGGGAGGTGCGTTCGGCCAGCCATTGAGGGTTGCTCTTAGCAAGGTAGGCGAGGCTGTGGCCCGAGTTGGCATTGTCTGGGGCGAGGCCGTGGTCGGGGCGAGCAATGGGCGGTGTGGAGTAGAAAAAGATTCTGCCGTTCTCGTCCCTGTTGTACTGGCTGCGCACCTCTTCGGGGATCTGGTCGTTGAGGGGGTCGGCCAGGGTAAAAACCTCTGACGGCCTGGGAGGGTTATAGGCATTGGCGGGCTGCATGGCATTGGGCGTGTTGGCCATGGGTGTGCGGGCTGCAGCGGGATGAGGCTGCATTTGATGATGGTTGTAGGTCGGGCCGCCCATGGGATTTGCTGGCATCATTTGTGGATGCATTTGGTGGTGGCCGTGCTGCTGGTGTTGGTGGTGCTGTGGGACCGGCGCTTGGGCCTGATGGTGCTGCTGGTGCGGCGGGAGGTGGTGCTGCTGCTGGAACTGAGGCGCTGGAGGGGGAGGGCCTTGGTGGTGGTGTTGCTGCTGCTGTTGGGGGTGCATGTGCTGTGGTGCGTGGTAGGGATGGTGCTGTTGCGGGTGTTGCTGATGGTGCTGTGGGTGCTGTTGTTGGTGTTGCGGGTGCTGGTGAGGGTGCTGCTGGTGTTGGAACGGGCTTGGCGCAAATCCCTGCTGCTGGTACATGGGGCGGATGGGCTGCTGCGGAGAGTGAGACGCCTGGTGAGGAAGTTGGGGTAGAGGCACCGGCGTTTGATGGTTCACCGCGACTGGCGATGCTGAAGCATGCTGAGGCGTGTACTGCTGAGCATACATTGCTGGCGAGGGAGACGGTGCAGCTCCCATTCCGTGCCCATAAGGCGTGGGAGGATTGCCCATCGACATGTCGCTGGGCGTCTGGCGCATCGCCTGAAGGACTGAAGGCCGTCGCGCAGGCTCTTGGCTCATGGGCGGCGGAGAAGGCGTGGGCTCAGGTGGAGGAGATTCCTGTACAATCAAAGTGAACTTTGTCAGTAATGGAAAAAACAAACGAAGATGAAGTGAGTCCCAAAAGGTAGGCTGTGAGAGCAGAAGAAAAAGAAAAACTAACGCGCAGCAACGAGTGAGAGGCAAGGTAAAAATCGAAAGTGCAATTGAAAGGTCAAGGTGAAGGTGAGTGTGGAAATGAGGATGAGGGTGAGAGTGAGAGTAAGAGCAAGAGTGAGATGTGAGGGCACAAAATTCTGCTGCGAAGCACGTTTGATACGTGCTGCAGGGTGTTGTTATCCCACACGCGTCGCTCCCTTTATCTACCTGCACTGCATAACCGAGAAGGGACGACGAGAGGGTGTGGTAGTGCTGTTGGAGGGTTGCCAATTATCCCATCCACCTCCTTCATCCAGGAGGCGGCACGGTAAGGCTGTGTGGTATTCGTGCAGGTGTTCCAGCACGTATTCGTGCAAGAGACACGCCCGTAATGACAAGCCGGCCCAGGTCAAGATGACAGGCCAAACGAAAGAGACAACAGCAGGGAAAACAAAATGATTCACATCACAACTCACGTTTGATTCTCGAGGACGCCGATGCACGGCACCAATAATGGGCGGTGCGTTTGCAGCACCCCAGGTCGGCTTCGGGAGCTCATCCGTTTCCTTCGCATCCGCCTGCAGGAGGTGTTTGATCGGGCTGGGCACCTTCTTGAGCCGCCGCGGCTGGCCAAACAGCTTCATCTCGTAGTCCTTCTCCCGGACTTCGTCAGGCACGCAGCTCGTCCACGTCTTGATCTTGTTGAATTTACAAGTCGCCTCGTTGTACCGAGACTCGCACACGTACACCTCCTTGTCCGCCGGTAGTGTACGCGGCCGCCCTTTATTGAACCGCGTGACGAACATGACGAAGCATCGGTCGAGCACCTCTTCAATCTGGTGATCGCGATACTGGCCCGTCTTGGCCACCTCGTTCTCGAAGAAGTGCTTCTCGAACCTGTGCACCGTCTGCTCGGGCCGGTAGTACCAGCAGGCGTTGATCCATCGCTGTCCAGCTCGATCTTGCCAAGTTCGGAATATTTGCGCAACAATGGGCTTGGCCATGTCGTTAACATTACGAATATGCACCCAGTCGCCTACACAGGAGCCGTTAGGACCCAAGTCATCATTGTACACAAGGCACCGAAAACAAGACTTACCGACTCGCCACGCCTGGCCGTTGTGATGAATTTCCGAAAGTGGCAGCTTGCCATCTTCATCACGGAACTCATCATCCGGCCTCGACTTTTCCTGAGCAACCAGCTCACGCGCTTGCTTCTGCAGCTCGACAGCGGCTTCGTAAATGTCACTGGCCTCCTCGTTGTACTCCTTTGCGTTGTTGAACATGAGCTCGATGTCCTTAAGCGCGTCGTCGACAGTCGAGTATTTCTTCCTCTTAGCATTCCTCTTGATGTTGTCGAGCGCAATGGGATTGGTGATGACCTGGTAGTAGTCCGGGTTCGCAAGCTTATCGGGCAGCTTCTCAAAGGGACCAATGAGCAAGTCACCGTCGTCTGACTGGAACTTGCGCAGGCCCTTGATGACGTTGTGAATACGCGCCTCAAGCGGTGTCAAGACTTTGGGAGGGCGGCCGCGCTTCTTATGTTCGTCTTCCTCCCGGGCCTCCTCAAGCTGGCGCTTGGTGAGCGAAGTCCGGGCACGCCTCCTGCTTCGTCGGCGTTTTCCGTCATCGTCGGATTCGTCGTCTTCTCCTTCTTCCTCTTCCTCTTCCTCCTCTTCTCCTTCCTCCTCTTCAGATTCGGCCTCTGGCGAAGAGTCTTCCGCGGGCGGGAGCTCGCCCAAATCGGGAAGCTCAGCCTCTTCTGACTTGATCGTGCCTTTGGCAACGAGTTTCTGTAGTTCCTTCTTGAAAAGGTCTCGGATGACGGTGGCACTCTTGAAGATGGCCGAGGAAGGCCGATTGTACACCTGCGCATTGTGACAAATCTGTGCAAGATCGCGAACAAACTCGGGGAAATCCGTGTACAGCTTTTTTTGAATCTTGTGCTACTTGGGGTCAGTCTTTTGTCGTGCCAAGAAGGCTCCGCAGATGGGCAGGACATACGCGAATAGTGCTAAAGGCGATGGGGTTCTCAATAATTTCGAAATAGTCTGGCAGTTGACGCTTGTTCGGGATGCGCTGGAAACTAGCCGCCCACCATTCACCACTACAACGACCATTGATTAGCAGGAAGATGCGCAAAGGATGCCTCTGATCCCAACGTACTCTTCATCCTTGTAGTTGCTCACGGTTGAGCTGATGGTTTGGATGACATCCAAAAGGTCGCCAGGCTCGGATTCCACGGGCGATGCGGCACCATCATCTGGGTCTCCATCCGCGTCTACGTCAACTTCGCCGTCTGCGTCTGCGTCTGCGTCTGCGTCTGCGTCTGCGTCTGCATCTGCGTCCACGTCGCCATCTGCATCCGCTTCACCGTCGGCGTCCGCGTCGGCATCCGCATCGGCGTCGGCGGTCGCACCCGCGTCGATGTCCATTTTATCGGATTGGGGCGGTTTCGCGGAGACAGTCGGCTCGGGCTGTTTGGCGTCGGCGGTGTTGGCGTCGGCATCGGGTGCGTCGGTCATTTCGACATCTTTGGTGACCTTGGCCTCGATGGACTCGCGCACTTCGGGCGCGTCGCTGCGCGTCGCCATGGTTTATCCTCCAACCTCTTCGGGAATCCGCAGGCGAAGGCAGCTTCAGGAATCCTCTTCTCTTTGGTGACAATTGAAGGCACAAGGGATCGAACGAGACAGTGGACCCTCTTGATTGGCAAGGTCGAGTAGGAGAAGGGGTCGAGGGCTTGCGTCGCAAAGGTGGGATTTTACAAGTTACTACGTTTCTTTGGGGGGGGGCGGGAGCTGAGGAATTGAAGGTTTGCGAAAGCAGTGAGGCGGGAGCTGGCCGGGGTACTACGGGTACAAGTGGTGCTGAGAGGGGATGTTAGCAAGGAACCAGCCCGGGGCCGGTGGTGGCCTCTTCCGGCTCCACCTCGGCTAACTGGGACGTTGAAGACGGGCCATTGGACGAGCCGGAGGGGACTTGGATCAATGGCTTCAGGGACAAGTGACAAGTGACAAGTGACAAGGTACCTCGAGCTGTCCAACGGGTAAGGAGGCACTTGATGGTGCTATTTCTTGTTACCTCTCGCTTCTTTGAACAGCTTCTTCCTTGCCCGAGTTGAGAAAGAGAGGAAAGGCAAGGCCCATTAAGTCATTTGCATGGTACCTTTTAAGGTTGATTGAGTCATTTACTCGAACTATTCCTTGGCCCTGTTTACCATCCTTAGTCTTCAAAGCCTTCAAGACTCTATCAGGATGTCATTTCATAGTACCTCTCTGACCTGTATCTCCGGTTTTCACGGTTCACTTACAGATAGTTGCTATCTCTTGATTTCGGAGATAGCTATTTTCAGCTCTATATCATCGCTCCTCATAGCTCAACTCTACAGGCACACAGTGGAGGAAAGACAAAGTGGGCGACTGCAACGTGGAACCATGAAGTCATTGTCACTGCAGCACCGGGACAGGACACAGCAGCTCGGCGTTTGTTGGAGTAGTTCTCCACTCGGGAAACGATCAAAGACAAGCACAAACCTCCAATCCCAGCACTGGTACCGTGGACGCCGTCATCCTTTGCTTTCTCGAGTCGGACAAAGCTGCTGCCCTACCAGAGCGTCCAGACCATTGGGTTTTGACCCAAGGTAGCCCGGGCATCTTAGGTTGAAAACGTCCATCTGTCATGAACGCTCAGACTCGGTGTCCCAAGTCTTCCCACGTTCCAAACATCACACGACCTGTTCAAAGCAGCTTGCTAGAGCTACTTAATAAGCGGAGAAGCTTCTAGTGCATCCGAACTCTCGGCAACAGTTGTTCTACCCTACCCTCCTGCCACAGGTGCAAGTCAACTCCATCGTTTTTTGGATCCAACATAGCTGTAGAAGCACCCTTCCCGCCTCCTTCGCCGAGGACCTCGCCACAGTTCTCTCACGCCGGAAGACTTCTACGAAGCTGATCAGACTCGAATCTTGAGTCAAACGCACCGACTTGGGGCGCATAGGGGCCTACGTCTCACAACCAGGTTCCTTGGCAATCGAGTCTCAGAGTGAGAACCCGCCGGTGATCATCTGCGATAAGATAAACCCCTCCGTTCGACCCCGCCATCAAGAGCTCGGTGGCCATCTGTCGTCCGTCCGGATCCGTCTCCGGCCAAGATCGTCTCCTGTCAGTCTCCAATTCGAAGCTTGTGCGTCATTGCACTATCAGAAACTTCGACTCGCGATCTCAACTTTTGAACATCATACTCATCCTCTCACAGGCCCTCCAGCAAAGCAACATCCACACCACAATGAGAGCCAGATACAAGGGTCCGGGAGGCACAGGCGTCGTCTCCCTCGACGACACCGCCACAGTCGGAGACCTCTTCAACGAGATCAAGGACAAGACGGGCATCACCGAGTTCAGCCTCAAGTACGGCTGGCCCCTCCAGACCCTGACCCTCGAGCAAAAGGACGCCAACGCCAAGGACTTGGGCCTCAACGGACAGTCCTTCAGCATCGAGCCAGCCCACCACCGCACAATCACACCCCCGCCCGCCGCCGCCGTCGCCGCCCCGGCCGCTCGAGCTCCGGAGGCGTCCAAGAAGCCCCGCCTCGACGCCGACCCGTCCCCTTCGGACATCAGCATCCCGTGGCCGGAGCGCGAGTCGACGTTACGTGAGTACCCTTCACTCCCCAAACTGTTACCTCTTCTCATCTGACATGAAAACCCCCCAAGTTCTTCGCGTGATGCCCGACGACAACAGCTGCCTCTTCACCGCCTTCGGAGGCGCCATCCCCGGCAAGCAAATGGAAGCCAAAGAGCTCCGCAAGATGGTAGCAGACTACATCCGCCAACACCCAGACGACTACCCCGAAGCCGTCCTCGACATGCCCGTCGAAAAGTACATCCGCACCATCCAAGATCCAGAGCGCTGGGGCGGCGCCATCGAGCTAGGCATCTTCTCCGACCTCTTCGATCTCGAAGTCGTCGCCTTTGACGTCAAGTCCCAAAACCCGCTCCGCTTCGGCGAGAACAAAGAGTCGCGCTGCATCCTCGTCTACTCGGGCATCCACTACGACCGCATCGCGTGCAGCCCCTCAGAGCCGCCGTACGCGCACTCGGACCTCCCGCCCGAACTCGACCGGACGAACTGGAGTACCGCCGACGACGAGGTTCTCGACCGCACGAGAGCGCTGATTCGCAAGTTGCATGAGATGCATTACTTTACGGATACCACCGAGTTCTTGCTGCGGTGTACCGTTGCCGGGTGCGACTGGTTGGGGAACGGGCAGAAGGAGGCGAATAAGCATGCCAAGGCGACGGGGCATATGGGCTTCAGCGAGATCAAGGACGAGCCTGCGGGTGGATCGTCTGGTGCCGGTGCCGGTGCCGGTGCTTCTGCTGGTGGTGGTGGTGGTGGTGGTGGTGCTGTCTTTGGCGATAACGCGCTGCGCAAGTGTGATGCTCCTGGCTGTGAGTGGCTGGGCAGCGGTACGGCCGAGGCCAGGATTCACACGAGCGCGACGGGGCACACTGCCATGACTGAGATTCCGGACTTTTGATGAGCAGAGAGAATGGGCCTATTGATATATGCATGGCGGGGCGGAGTTGTTGGGCACGGTTATATGAGGATCGGGAACCAATGACTTGGGGAGTTTGGTTTGTTTTTGGCAGAGAAATTCAATAAACAGGAAGTGACTTGAAAACGCCTTTCGGATGAGTTTTGGTATTTCACGAGTGAAATTCACATAAAGACTCGACGACTACGATAACTCGTGACTACGCTTGCCCAACTTCATTCAACTCCAATCAAACCTCATCTCGCAGCTCTGCCTCAATCGCTCGTGATGAAACAAGACATAAAAAATGTAGGCAAAAGAAACATCACTCAAAATTTCCACCTCCATATCAAAGGCAAAGCTCAAAAATACTCTCATCTCATTCCCAACGACACAGCACCCCATCTCATTCCTTGTAAGTCAACCCACCCCCATAGCTATGCTCACTATTCGCCCCGCCCTTGGTAACCGTCCCCTCCTTAACACCCGTCGCGAAAACACAGTTGCCCAAATCCCGCTTCTCGACTTTGCCCGCACCCGGCGAGATGTCAAAGTCGAAAATGTCCATGGGCAGACCAATGGTCGTGCACGCGTTGGGGATATCGACGATTCCCGCGACGTGGCCCTGGATGGGGGCGCAGGACATAAGGAGGTAGACTTGGTAGTCGCTGTAGCCGAAGCGGCGGAGGTATTCGATGACACCTTTTCATTCGCGTTAGCAGATTCACGTCTTTCAGAATCTTATCCGGCAGCAGTGATCGGCTGAGGAGCAGTAAAGAGTCACTTGTGAAGAAAAAAAGGGGGGATGACATACGGAGACACGTCTGGCGATAGGCAACAGTAACGTCCATGTAATGCTGCTTCCCGTGCTGATCAACAGAGAACCCTTCAAAGTAAATGTGTCTCCCCGGTCCGAACTGCGGCTCGACGGGGCCGGGGATGTAGATGGGCGACTTCAAGTCCAAGTCGGCCACGCCGTTCTTGATGACTTTGAAGTTGATTGTGATGACGCCCGCCATCTCGATGGCGCCGCAAAAGGAGATTTCTCCGTCGCCCTCTTCGGCATGGTTAGTTGGATACTTGATGATACAGAGTATAGCCGCCCGCCAGTTGAGAGGAAGAGCCGGCGTAGTTAAAAACTTACGGGAGAAGTGCAAGTCGCCGACGCTGAATTTGGCGCCGGGGACGTGGACTGGGAGGTAGACTTTGCTTCCCCTGCTTAGGTTCTTGATACTATCACCCCCTCAACGTCAGTAATCCTTATTTCCAATCATCCACCAAGTCCGTCCGTCAAACCGGGGAAGCAGTCAAAGCCGTTAAGGGAAAACTCACTCGCAGTTCCCGCCATGCTCAGGCCGCCCAGGAATCGTCCTAGCCCCTTCCTTACCAACCTTCTCCTTCAACGCCGCGTCCGCCGCGCCAGCATGCACATTGATCGGCTCCGGCGGCTTTGCGACGTCGCGGTCGAGCTTGTTGGCGGCTATGAGCTCGCCCTCGCGCGTGTTCCAGGTGTCGAGGACCTCGGCGGAGGGTGCGCAGCCCAAGATGCCCGGGTGGATGAGACCGGCGAATTTCACACCGGGAATATGGCGCGAGGAACAATAGATTCCTTCAAAGTCCCAGATTGCTTTTGCGCTTTGTATTCGGTGGCCATATTAGCAGTGGTGCTCTATTGGTAAGATGATGCCGATGCGAGGATTCTTCCAACGTAGATAAACGAAAAGTGTCGTTGGTCCTCGTGAGAATGAGTGATGAGACATGGGAAGAACTTACGCGGTAGGATACATCTCATCCAAGAACCCACCGCCGTTGTTCTTATCAAACACACCGGTGAAGCCCCACGGCTGGTCTTCGAAGGGCTGAACGTCCATGATCTCCACCAAGAGCAGGTCGCCCGGCTGGGCGTCCTCGACCTCAAAGGGACCGCTGAGGTAGTGGATCTTGGTCAGGTCGACGTTGAGCATGTCGTCCGCCGAGTCGTTGTTGCCAATCTGGCCACCGGTCCTGTGTGGGATGTGTGAGTTTCGTGGATACTAAACCACAAGAGGTTGAATGAGGTGGATTACCAGTCTACGCATTCAATCTTGACAGTCTCGCCATTCTTGATTGTGCCGGAGAAGGGGACTTGAGGTTGGTTAGAGGGTATCATGACTTGGACTCTTGTCAACCAAAGCACTTACTGTCGGGGTGCCATCTGTTCTGGTTTGGCTGTCAACATCTTGGGTTTCAAAGCTTAAATCGACGGCATTTAGACACTTACGTGCAGGCCAGGTTGCTCAGAAGCCGGCTGATCAAAGCTGACCTTGTTAGCCGTACGAATACCTGTCTTCCCCATGATGGAATAATTAAATGCAAAGTTGATTGATCTCAGGATGAGATAATTCCAAGACAATGGACCTGAGCCATTCACTTTTTGGTATGAGAGTGAGTGTTAGGCCCATCCGGACGATTTTGGTCTGCTTCGTGTGTGGTGGATATATATATATATATATACATGCATCCAAGCTAATGTCTCCAAACTACCCCGCCCTGGTCTCCTCGGAAGCATCTCATCCAGCGAATGAGACACCTTTCTCTCCTGCCTCGCCTGGCTATCTATCCCGAGTATGGGATCACCTATCCCCAACTGTGTGAGAAGTGGTGGCTGCTGGGGCGTTCAATGTGCCGTGCAAGTGCGGAGCTGGGTGCAGGCTGCGGGACATTGATAAGAGCTTTTGACCCGATACCGTAAGAGGCTTGTGTCTGGCAACCCCTGCATTGGCTCCGCCCGTCGGCCACTCCCCAAAAACCAATCGATAAGAAGGGCGTGGTGATCTCATATCGCATGACTGCTCCTATCATTAAACCGTAATTGATTGCAATCCGGGGGGTTGTTTATCTCGGCATCTGTCGTTTACGCCTTGTCGGTCCCGTTCACCCGTACTGTTGCAGAAAGGACCAGTGCAAAACGTCCGCGGAATGTCACCCAATCCCGGCATGTATGGGTTCACGCCATTGAATTAAACGTAGCGAACGCCGAAAAGCGACAGACGAACGGGCAGCCTCGCCCTTCCCTAGCGATTTGCTTACTCGTGCTTTTGCGCATCGGCTGTCGGGTTTGCCGGCCGCGACTTGAGGTGAATGGCATCAATATCGCCGAGGGAAAGGTTGAGGAACTCGTGCTTGTTCGTCCACTCTTGCTGGCTCGCGGCGAATGCAGCCTTCTCGGCGGGAGGCGGGGGAGGGTCGGTAATCTTGGTAATCAGGTACGCCGTTGAGGCCTCTGCGATACCGTAGATCAAGACACCAACGAGCGGGATCTTGATCAGCGTGTAGAACCCAATGGCGAAGCCGAACAGCAATCCCTCGCGGTTCCGGAACCAGTTTCTCTTCTGCTCCTTGGTAAAGTGCACCCGAGAGAAGTACGGCTCCAGGAGCTCTCTCATCAAACTCCTTGACGCAAAGTAACTCTGCAGGAAGATGACAATGTACCGCTTGGGCAAGAAGATGCCAGTTCCAAAGATCACAGACGCAGGGCCCAAGCCGACGGCGTTATTGAATGTGTAGAAACTGGCTGCGGGCAGCACGAATCGACCGACGACGGGGAGATACGACAGGGCGAATACGGCGAGGGAGATGGCACCCTTTCGAGCGAAGCGATACAAGAACATGCTGATGGCTTCGGCCGTGCTAGTTGTGTGGGTGCTGCCGTCGCTGACCTTGTACATCTTAAGGTTGGGATAGTACATGTCTCGAAGCTTGTTCGGGTCTTCATGCTTGTGTTTCTGGACGTACGTCTTGTCGACCCAGTTCAGTGAGTCCATGAACCTGCCTTCATGTTAGCAAAAACCCGAGGACTGGGGGTCGAGGTGTGTACTTGCATGTTGTCGAGAGTCGGGGTGACGTAACGCATCAACGCCATGAGGAAAAAGGGGACCTGCAAGACATATTCCTCGATGAAGTTGAGGCCCCCGACAATCTGGTCGTCCCAAGTGACATGATCCAGGCTCAGGAAGAAGGAGAGAATCCAGAGAAAGACTCTGACGCCAATCATCTATCGTAGTGTTAATACCTAACTTGAGGAAAAGAGGAGTATCTCGGTGGTTGTTCGTGCTCCTGACGCAGGGGTGTAAGGTAGACATACGGGAATGGAGATGACGAGACGGATGGCAAGGCCACTCAAGACGGCAATGCCGGCTTGTCGGTAGTGGTCCGAAGTAAACAAGGCGGGGTTCTGAAGAGCTCGTTGAGCTTAGCGACGGTTAGCATTTCAACCTGATCTACAAATCTCAGAGTAACTGGAGGCCATGGTTCCATTAACTGACCTCCAACCAGCGTCAACTGGATGCCCCGCAGGATCTGGTTCACGTCGAAATGAGACAGGTCGAACTCTCGCTTCAGTCTCTCCTTGTCAATGGGAAGCTTGTCGAGCTGCTTGTCGATCTGGCCTTCAAGCTTGTCGCGCCTTTCGCCCTTTTCGGAGGTCGCCATGGTTTTCTCGAGGTTGTGGAAGTGACTATGCCGATCACCACGAACGTTGCTGGGTGTTGAGGTTCAAATTGTCGAGGGTTTTGGAGGGGCACACGAGCTGCTGCGACCATGTCAGCGCAGGGCTGGTGCTTGGCCAAGCTAAACTTGCCGGGAGCTGGAGCTGACTGTGGCGGCAAGACGATGACGACACCCATGCCGGGGATGGTGGCTGAGAGACCTGGGAGCAAGGTAGGTACGAAGTACCTCGCGACGCTGCAACCGGTACATCCGGAAGTCCTGATGGTCCGAGCTTCACCGAGTGCCGGGCAGTCCCCGTTACCCTTATCTTATCGATATTCACCAGATAAAGATAAGTGATGAGCCAGCAGCTAAGGTACAAGTCACTGAAACAAACCACCGCAATTAAGGCGCCTCAGTCGCAATACCATTCGCTTGTATGAGGGCTAGCTGCATAGCGATGCATCAACACAGAACCAGTCAGCTCCAATGGTCGGGTGCAAGTGGATTGAAATGTTCAGAGATATGGCACCGGTTCATGTCGAGTTGCTGCGGCTGCGGCTGCGGCTGCACTGCGCACGCGTCGAACTTGCATCCCAGAACGCGTCCGCTGGGCTTAAGAGCTGCAACCCCTGCACGCATTGCTCAGAGCTCGAAAAGCTCGATGCTTGGAAGGTCAGAGCTTCAATGGACCAATAGCAGGTCCCTGAATTGCTACCTCCCATGCTGCTTCAGGGTAGGTATAAGACCCAGGTCATATATCTGCAATTGAATAAGGCGGCTGTTGTCATGGGACACCCGAGGCTCTCGAAGCTTTTTGTAAACCTCGGAAGCTAGTTTCTGGTTGAGAATGCGGTGAGGGCCGAAATGACGAGGCAACACGAGCTCTCCAAGCCTCAATTTTCAGAGGCGAGTTTGCAAGGCGGAGCTGAAAAGTAATGACCAAACATGAACTGCCACTGATACGGCTGAAATGCCAGGGTTTCCACTGGATTTTTATGTTGAGGTTGCCCCGTCTCATCTTTGCCGTTTTCTTCTAAGCGAACATTACAACGCCCTGGGCTCCCCCATATCAATCCCCATACGAAGTAGTCATGAAAAAAAGTTAGGGGTGCATTTCGGCTGGGATATGTCGGCTGTCCCCGGTGCGACCCCCCAATCATCAATGGAGAGCGGTACCTTATTAGCGAAGCGACTACGACGTGCAATCTCCAGGTTAGCTCCAGATGGGGCCGGGCACATGACGAGGGCGCGCGCTTCAGTGAGCCTAGTCATCCTAGCTTGTTCTCCAGATCTATCTAGATGGTCTCCGTGCATAAGAAGAAGGGGGCAAGTGAGAGATCAAAGCGAAGTTAATCACAACAAGACGGGTGAGATGTGGTGTTGAAAATCTAGCATAACCGACTCAGATCAGGTATGAGAGACGGAGAGTGAGTGAGTGAGTGAGTGAGTGAGAGAGCATGTGAAAGCTAGTAAGGGTATTCCTAAGTGAGTGGGTGAGAGAGCATGTGAAAGCTAGTTAGGGTATTCCTAAGTGAGTGAATGAGTGTGTGAGTGCATTTTGTCTCAAACTCCCGCAATACTGGATGGAATTAAGAGTCTCTCCTATAATTACCAGGTGGCAATGCATGTTCAAGTCGAACCACAACCAAGAGGCTCACTCATGTCTCCGTGAGTCTGCCTCAGTGTTTGAGCATTATTAGCAATCAAGTCGAATGAGGTAAAGTGAGATGATGAGATACGTCAGACGACGAATGAAAACGTGAGAAAGGGAGGAGAGGTCTCATCGTATGGTAGGGGCTCACTTGGAAGTAGGGACGTGGGTGCGGGGCGCGGGGGGTCCATCGCTATCAAACCGCGACGCGATGGTCAGGAAACCGGCAGCGTCAGAACCCCCCAGTCGGGCGCGTGTTTCCTCCAAAGGCTCGAACGAGTCCCCAAGAAGCCGTGACATCGTTAACCCCTGGTCGAACCATGAGCAAATCCCAAATCCGTCCAAGCTTCCACTTCCCATCTTTTGTGCATCCTGGCATCCATCCATCACCTAGTCTTGCTTCCCACCTCACAGGCTCACACCTCCACGTCCGCCGCGCCGCTGCCCCCTCCCTGTCGCCCTGCCTCAATCTCAATTATCAAAACCCTTTTTTTCCTCTTCCTCCTACTCCCTCCACCATCCGGTCCCTCCTCCTCCCCTCCTCATTCGCTTCTCCGGGGACACACTACACACCCATCTTCTTCTTCCCTTCCATTCGCTATTGTGTGGTGGCACAAGTGTTTCTTCTTCATCTGAAGGGTACTGAGACCGGAGCAAGACATTTTATTTCCTTGCCGATTCTCGCTCGGCTCAAAAGGGGGCCCACGTCCTTCCGGCGCCGCTGCACTGGACCCGTTTGTTTGCCCGTTTCTCGGATTCCTCAAAAAATACCCCCTTGCTACGGATATCATATCAGTCTTTCGCTTTCGATTTGCACCGCCCTGTTCTCTCGACCAAGGCCGGCGCGCTAACTCAACGCGACGGAAATCGACCACGCCAGCGAACGTCACCTCCGACGACATATTCCTCCTCCCAAGGCCTGTCATGTCCTCGATGTCGGCTGCGACATGACCCAGGTCCGATTCGAAATACTCGCCCATCAGCTGATACTTCCCGCACGTACGTGACGACACTGCTCTCCCCTGGCCGAGCTCCCACACTCTCCCTTCCTCTAGGGATACCACGATGGAATCTCTTCGCCCTGCCTATCTGGCCCCTCGCCGCGTCGCAACCGCCCCGATACCAACACACTTGTCACGCCCGGCACCGTCCACATCGGCCGGTGGCCTCGTCGAAACACTATACAACCACCCCAATGTCAAGATCGTAGCATTCGCTGCTGCTTCCAGAGGCCGAGCTCGGAGTCCAGGTCGTGGCCCTTCAGATGAGCCCGGCTCTTTGTCTGCCCACTCGCAGCTGGAGAGGACAATTGCCATTGGTAAGTTGCGCAAGTCCACAAATGCCTGCATGGCCATTGCTAATTGGGGGCCGTCTGAATAGGGCCGTTCCGAATATACCGTACAGGATCCGTCGCCTTCTTGAACTGCGGCTCTGCCCTGCAGCCAATGTTGCCCAAGAGTCAATGCTGGGCCCTAGCCGAAGACTCCAGCAAATTCGTCCTACAAATTCGCCGACCCAATTACTGGAGGATTGAGATTCCCGTCACCAATGCCGATGAACTGGAATTGGCAGCGGCACTGAAGGGTGTTTGGGATCAAATACTACAGTTCGAGAAGACGGAATGCCCTTTCAAACGGTCCTTTACAGTCATCCTCCCCGAGAAACCAAAAACACCCGTCAAAAAGCGACCATGGACACCTCCAGTCAAACGAGCCCTGCCTGTCCTATCGACCCCTGCTCACGAAGTCGAAGTGTCACCGACCCCGAAGGCTCTGACGCCTAACACCGGTAGGAGAGCTTCGACATCTTCTCTCCGCGGTAGAAGCGAGCAACGCCGGCTCTCCACCGTCAGCAATGACTTTCATTCAACCTCAAGATCCCGTGAACCTAGTGCCGAAATACCGAAAGCGGCAGAGCCCAGGGATGCCGCACTAACTCCCACGGCCGAGAGACCAGCCGCTGCGACAGAATTGAAGATTCTCAAGCGTGGAGCGGAGGCAACCCGCAATATCGACAGCAACAATACGGCTCAAGAGGTGACTGATCAGGGAGGTCCTACGTGTGATCTGATCAAGATAGAGAAGACCGAGCCCAAGGAGAACCATGAAGAGTCCATGTTTGAGTACTCCATCGCCGAGGAAGTGGAACCCGAAGACGATGCTCAACAGCCAGATCTGAAGGCTCCCGCCGAGGAGCTGTCAACAAAGTCACTAGGAATCCAAGTTGCGAATGGTGGCATTGGTGCACGAAACAACGCCGGCGAAGAGGTGAATGCCGCTGCGGTCTCGTCAGCGTCCCATTTCGCCCCGCTACTCACAACCGTGACAGCCCCTTCGACAGAGACGGACGATTGCGAAAAGGTCGCCCAGAGCCCTAGAGTTCCTCAAGCTTCTATCAAAATCGACGACTCATTGACCCAGCCGAAGGAAAGCAAAACAGATATCCAGGTGGAGACTGTGGTGACTGTTGAGCGGCCAGTGACTGATCGGCGACTGCAAAACGATATCAGGGAACAGCTCGTCACTGTGGAGGCATTGCCCAAGACACCTCTGTCGGCTGAGGCAAGCACACCCACGCCTACTAACATTTATGACGTGATCCGGAACTACGAGATCAAGATGGCCGCTGCGACTCCCGAGTCTACATTGGCCACCGAACCTGTCGCTGAGCCCGAGACCGTGTGCGAGAAATCTGCAGTGGAGACGGCGAATACCAGCGGGAATGGATCAAGCAGCGAATCACAGTCCGCGACCGACGAAGAGGCAGTTCTCGAGGGAAGCGGAGTTGTGGGTGGCAGAAGAAAGAAGCTTCGCGGGTTCCGAGCCGGCAGGGCTCTCGTTCCCCCACAGTTGACTCTCGTAACTTCGCCGCCCTCAAAGTCGGCTATGAGATCAACTCCGATTCTGGATGAAACCACTTCGCCTACCGGCTCTACAGACTCATTCCACAGTTCAAAGTCGTGGCACTCGCCCGCTCACTCGCCAATCACGCCTGTCCCAAGGTCTCCTGCCTCAGACGTGTCACCGACGAGATTCCCATACCCTCACGATAACATTTTGATTCCCAAGAAGCCTTGGCACTACCGCGATATCTCCGATCTGACTGTCACCCCGGAGACTCGGCGAACTTGGGATGCGACTTCGTCCCTTACCGACGACAGCTCGCTAGAGAGCGCGGCCACCGCGCCAGACATGGTGTCTGAGGTGGTTGAGCAGCCTGACAAGGTTGCCCTTTCCGAGGATGAAGCCACAACCACGGCTGTTGTGCGTCGCCCTTACATTCGACACAGGTCAACCACGAGCAGCATTTCGGTCGGCCGCAAAGCGCTCTCCCCTCTGCCGACAGCGGCCAACCTTTTTGCGCCCACGAGCACTCAGGCGAGGTATCATCCCCTGAGAAGCCGCCTGGAACTTGTCCGCAGACTCCCCATGGCCATCGTGTCCAAGACCTGCGAGGTCCTTCTGGGTCCCCCGAGTCATCTTATCGCCCTGATGCTCCAGGTGGCCGCTAAGATTGCCGCCGGACAATGGCGCGGTATGATGTTCGGGTTCGGCGAGGGCGGCGAGACGATTCCCGTGCAATGGGACTACTCTGATGACGAGTACGATAGCTGGGGCGAGAACGACGATTACTATCTCAGCCAAGTCGAATCATCGCGTGCGAACAGCGTGATCGGGACTGACGACGGCGAGAATGACGAGGCTACCGACAACGCGAACGGCACGGGTCGCGGGTGGGAGGTCGACTGAAGCCCCGCGCGAGGCATCAGTCTGTAATGATTTCATGTATGACCACTGTATGTTTTAATCGCCAGGAACTGCATCCAGGATGGAAACCTTTTTGGGGCGTTTTTGTTTGAGCAAGAGGAAGCAAACTTCACGGACGGGCCTTGGATCTGGAGAGGCCCGAGCCAAAAGAAAAACGTGCAGATATCCCGACAATATGTGGGATCACGTTTGGTCCTTGTTCTTTCTCTGATGTATAAACAGTTTGGGAACGGTGGTGATGGATAGGGCAACTTGGAGGATTTTCCCCCTTTTTCATTGGCATTACGAGGCATTTAGTCCGTACGCTGGCCTTGCCAGGTACTATTCAGGGATGAATTCACTTCACGATTTCAAGAGCTTGTTGCAGTGCCGACTGTGAGGTGGGCCTCTGCGTGCGTGTTGATGAGTGAGTGAGTGTAAGCAGCCACACTCGTTCTCAGACGTATGAGAAGAAGGGTCCACGAGGCTAGGAGAGTCCCGTCGGGTCATCATTGTAGAGCGCCATAACGCATTGCTCATGGAACCTCAAGGAGTCATGGCAAGGACTGCAAAAGGCGTCGGGTACATGATCCGGATTGTCGACTGGACTGTGGACTGTTCCCGGGAGACTGTTCCAAGAGACTGGAAAAGCCAAGGAATCCAATAAAGATCAAACACACGAGATACGACGAGATGACGGCTGCAGATCTACGTGCCGGCGTGTGCCTTCGGGCTGATTTAGGTCATCGCCAATTGTAGGTGAAAACGTCGTTGGCATCGGTTCAAAGTTGTCGAAGGGGCTCGTGGGAGAGAATGAAGCTTAGTACGTTAGTTTCTATGGTATGCGTGTATGTGTGTGTATGTGTGTGTGTGTGTCAGTCGGGTCATCATTTTGCGCGCGTCGTATTTGAGAGATCGATGCGATTGGACGATATTGACGCCTCGTGAGGCTGATCTTGAGGGGACTTGGCGAGCGTATTCGTCGGGTTACGGGGAGGCCATTTGGGATACCGAGTTTTTGGATCATTGGAAGATTACCAAAGGGAAATTGCCTTTCTTCCCTTGATGGGCGAAGGACGTGGTTGAAGAAGTATTTAAGGTACAGTAGGTCGGCATTGATATAAAAGAACGTGGGACGGGAGATCCATAGTGACCCATTGTCGAATGCTGTGATATTCAACCCAGCCCACGCACATTGCCCAAAATTGGTTTTCTGGATCCAAATCCACGTAGAAGCGAGCTCGCTGTAGGAACTGTCAGTATTGAGAGAGAAAGGAGCGAACATGGAGGATGGCAACTATGGTAAGAACCGAAACCCCCCCCCCCAAAGAGCAGGCACCTTCAACGCCCACTAACAAGATGTCCAAAGTCGACGGGAGCTACTTCTTCTACGCTCCGAATAAGGGAGCGCCCATCTTCTTCGCTGTAGCGTTTGCTGCATCTGGCATATTGCACTTTTGGCAGAGTTAGTAAGTCACTTCAACCCTCCGTCTCCTAGCCACTACCGACCCAAACTCAGCCTCCTTGAGGGAAAACAAGTAGCTGATTAGAGGCAATGTGAATGTAGTCACTATAAATTCTTCAAAGTCACTGCCCTATACTCCTTTTGCTGTCTGCTCTTCACAGCTGGCTTCGCCGTCCGCACGTACGGCGCATGGCACTACGATAACCTCAACGTCTTCATCGCGAGCGTGTGTCTCATCTACGCAGCTCCGTAAGTCACACATGGGCTTTCCAAACGGAAGAGAAACGAAAAAAAAAAAAGAAAAAAAAGAAAACCCCCTTCAACTTACTGTTTGTCTCCCCACACAGACCCCTCCTCGAACTAGCAAACTACAACATCCTCGGCCGCGTCCTCTACTACGTCCCCTACTGCTCCCCCCTCCACCCAGGCCGCGTCCTCAGCACCTTCGCCTTCTTCTCCAGCATCGTCGAGGCGCTGAACGGGTGGGGCGCATCCTACTCGGCCAACCAGTCCCTCACGCAGCGGGAGATGGAGACGGGCCACGCGCTCATCAAGACGAGCCTGCTCCTGCAAATCTTTGTGATTGCCTGCTTCGTCGCGCTCGCCGTCGCCTTCCAGCGGCGGTGCGCCGCCGCCGGCATGGCGTCTGTACGCGGAGTAAAAAGTCCGATGGTGACGCTGTACGTGAGCGTCGGGTTGATATTGGCGAGGACGCTGTTCCGGGTCGTGGAGTACTTTGGGGTCGCGAAGGTGAGGTTTGATGCGGAGACGGAGGTGGGGGATGCACCTGCCGCGATACGGTATGAGTGGTTCTTTTACGTGTTTGAGGCGAGTTTGATGCTGGCGAATGTGTGCATGTTTAATGTGCGGCATCCGAGGCGGTATTTGCCCGAGAGGTATACGGTGTATCTTGCTACCGATGGGGTTACGGAGGTGGAGGGGCCCGGGTGGAAGGATCCGAGGGCGTTTTGGGTGACTGTTGTTGATCCGTTTGATTTGAGGTGGTTGATTAGGGGGAGAGATCGTGGGATGGAGAGGTTTTGGGAGAGGGATGGTGGTGAGGTTCGAGTGGAGGGGGGTAGTGGGAAGGGTACTGTTTGAGGTTGTAGGCGTGGCGAGGTTCGTTGGGATTGTTATGTTTTGTGTTTGTGTTAGACTTGGCTTGTGTTTTGATGACTTGCTTTCCTTTTTGTCGAGTTTGTTTAGCTTAGACATATCGTCCTCTTTGTTGAGTATATCTCTCTTATACCAAATATCGTCTCCGAACAATCTTGCATGATACTCAAGAGCCAAGAACTCGGTGTACAAGTGATCCTACAATTCGCAAGACGATATAGACCGAGCGCTTTGATTAGTTGCTCTGTTATCTCTTTGTGGATGACCGTCCTTGGCCAGCAATGGGCCAAACCCAGCTACTAACATTGGCTCCTGCCCCTGAATCATGAGCTTTCATTCTTGGTTGTTACGGGATTCAATTTGGCAACGTCTTTTGGTGATGTCGATTAGCTCCTCAGGTGGTCGGCTCTAGAAGTCCTTGATCGTGGTTTGCAGCTGTACGAAATAGAAGAAGAAAAACCCCAGCAAAAGAAGAAGTCTTATGGCATGCTACGGAGTTGTTCCGGGTCAGGACTCTGGGGATGAGCCATCATCGTTGAAGTCGAAGTAATGGTCTTCGTAGGTGTAGAATGGTCTCGAAATAACAATAAGGGTCCGTCTCGCGTACCCCGAAAACGACGTCGTTTTTTTTTTCTTTTCTCTCTTCAGACATACAACATCAAATGGCTACTTGTTCATGTCACAGGCGAAAGTTGCCAAGTATAGCAAGGCGAGAGAAAACCTGATCTATTGGAAAGGAATCTTCACATCTCCTATGCTTGGCAAACGTGTCCGCCGTTCATGTTGTGGCACGACCCATCGCAGTGTTTTCGCATAGTTCCTTCTAGCCGGACGGGAACTGTCAACAACCCGAAGTCCCGTCGTTGCGACTACATACTTGCCTTGCTTCGGAGACTTTTTCCATCGGTTTGTGGAGTTCATCCGGCCGGGAGTTATGCCGGTGGTTCATGGTCCGACCTGGAGTAAAGCTTAAGTTTCGGCGACTACTTCCTCTTATCCCCGGACACCCCGGCCGAAACTTCCTTTCTCGGCGCCGTTTATGATGTCCAAGCGCCGCTCCGCATGCTCCACATCAACATCCGCTGCGGCGATGTTCTGTCCGGGTACATGCCATGCAATTTGTTCGGCGGATTTTGAAGATGTGTTGGTCACGATGGGATAGCGAGCTCATTGAGCTTCCTTCAGAGAACCCCAGAGGGTCAATACTCCTATAAATTGAATTGGCATGCCATGGCTCTTCTCTTATGTTCATCAGCACATCCAACCTTCATTGCATTCGTAACTCTCAAGACTTTATCACAAAGATTCTAGAAATTGCCCAACATGTCTTCAACTTCAACGGCGCAAGAACCTTGGTCGCTTGTCGACAAGACAGCCATCGTCACCGAAGCGTCTCGTGGCATCGGACAAGCCATCGCCATCCACTTAGCCCGCAAGGGTCTCTCCAAGTTAGCATTTACGTGCGCCAGCAACTCCGATGCAGCACAAAAGACTCTAGAAGAGTGCCGTAGACTCGGGGTAGAATTCGCCATCGCCATCCAAGCAGACGCTCTCGACCCATCCTTCGGTACCAAAATTGTCTCCCAGACCCTCCAACAGCTTTCCCCCACCTCCATCGATATCCTCGTCAACAACGCCGTCTTAAGCGACTACTCCAAGGTGGAACCAATCAACGACACAACCCTGACCGTCTTCCTTCTTCAAGTCATGCAGGCCAACGTATTCGCCCCAATCTCCCTTTCAACCGCCGTCATACCTCACCTGCCCCCCCCCAGGGCGGCGGGCGCATCATCGCCATCTCGAGCGTGCTAGCCTACCAAGCCAACGCGGATCCTACAATGACGTACGGTGCCAGCAAGGCGGCCTTCCAGAGCTACAACCGCTCGCTCGCCGAGGCATTTGGCAAGACCACCAAGGCGACGTTTAACAGCGTCATTGTCGGCCTGACGGCCACGGACTCGATTAACAATAGCAAGGATTTGCTTCCGGCGGGGTATCTTGATGGGCAGATTTGAGACACGACGGCGGCAAACCGGATCGGGGTGCCAGAGGATATTGCGTACGTTGTTGGGTTTCTTGCTAGTGAAGAGGGTCGTTGGGTTAACGGGGCTGCTGTGAGTACCAATGGAGGTAATCGGCTTGTTATGGCTGCTCTTGGATAGATGGTTTTTTATGAGGTTGAGAAGCTAGCGAAACCACTGTACTGTTAAGTTTCTTATCAGAACTTTTATAAAGAGCGTCGTATATCGAAATCGGTCGCTCCACGAGGTCGACGAGGGACATTTGGACCAGCCTCTCGAGGGGGCGTTGCTTGAACAGGAATTTAGGTCTCTTGGCTTTTCTCTTCCTGACGCGGTACCAAGACGGGCGGTATGTGTGAGGATTACTAGAGGTTCAGAACACATATTGAAGCAGCGTGATGCCCGGGCTACCGGTGAATTACCATTTAACGCTGTAAATGCTTGGTCGTTCTGTTAGACTAGTCGTGGATAAATTGCCGCTGTAACTCATGCGACGAGTAGCATTTGCTTTGCCTTACACATGCTCGTATTCCGATGATGTGATAAAGATGGCTGCATCGGAAGGTCGCTGCAGCGGGGAATGAATAATTTGAGCAGCGCCTGACGCAGTCTTCACCGAGGCGAAGCTGAACACTAGTAGCCGAGTGAGGGACAAGAGACGGGGGTTTGGACTATCCTGTACGCTTCATGCTGGGAGCGAAGGCAGGTACGACCAGAGGTGAGAGTATTCCGGCCCTGCCTAGTATGTACCTAAGGTATATATACCCCCTCAACACCGTTCCTGTCACCAGCCAGGAGGCGCCCGTATAGGTCGACGGGTCAGGTCAAACTGGCTGGGTGGTGGAGTGGTTAAAGGTCAACATTCAATTACGCCTATAGCCTACTCGACGACAGGCTACGAGTTCGAGTTCGATTCCCAGCAAGTGCACCAAGAGATGTAGCCACACCGGTGGTGAACTCTTTTTTTTGGGGGGGGGTTTGTCTTTTTGAATCTTTGGGTGTTGCATTTAATGAGGCATCCATAGGCATATATAGATCCTTAGCTAACAATACGGCAGGCCGATATTTTTTTTTAGAATCGTAGAAGAAGAAGCTTTCCGATAAAAGTGGTGGAGGAAGGGATGCCGTGAGATAGATGGCCCGAGGCGCTTATGCTGAATTGTATAAAAAGAAGCAACAACCAACCATTCGTTTGTGTGCGGCTCAATATGTTTATGGTGGGGGTGGCGGCTTTTTAGTCGAAAACGGAACGTCCTTCCTGAATACATATTCCGAAAGCCAGCCCTGGTACTCCTGGCTCATGCCCGGGAGCGGGATGGGGGGGACCAGTGTATCTGGAACGGAGAAACCACTTCTCATCCATGGTCCTCAGATAGTCCAGGTTGGTGATGTCCACCACCAGACTCTCAGACTCCTCGGGTGTTCTATCGCCCATCAGGTTGTCAGCACGCGCAATGTCCTGCCGTGATTCCATCAGTCACGGGTGCAGCGCCGAGACGTAGTCATGGACGGTGATGTATTCTGCGTTGGACGCCTCGATGACGAGGGGTTATGCGCTTTTTGGTCGGTCTGTGTCGCAGCAGCGCAAGAGCTCTCCATCGCCGCTATCGTATTCTTCTTCTTCTTCTTCTTCCCCATCGCTGTTGCTACTATCCTCTGACTTGGCAAGGTCGTCGTCTAGCCACTCTCCATAGACACAGCCATCATCGTCTGGACTGGCGGGTGTCCCAGCTTCGCACGACGAAGATGTTCTCCGCCAACGGGCCCTGGAGTCTCCATAGGAGATGGAGTGCTTGAGAGCTCGGGAAGGGGCTGGACATGGCGGGTGTGTTTTGGCATGAGAAAGCGTGTGACTGCGCCGCAAGTATCTCGTGTAGACCCTTTTAGTTGCTTATGGGGCTTTACTTTGAGACACATGCTCACGAGATAGGCACGCTACCCTTCTCTCACTTCAAGTATCCGCATCGTCGGAAGCGAAGGCAGGTCATTGTCCACAATCCTCGGACCGGACGACGACGACAACAACAACAACAACAACGAAAGACTACTCGGTGCACGGCACGCTCGCGCCCGCACGCCAAATTCTCAGGCTCGAAATGGGATCATTCTTTTCTTCAAGATTCTACAGGAAAGACTTGATCGGAGTAACGCCTTGGAATAGATGGGCGGAGAGGCGGTGCTCATAAAGCAGAGCTTCCTTCGTCATGGGGCCCCCCCAACTTGGGGGTATAGGATCACGCTTGCGGCGGTTATTTCTGCGCCGGCGCGCGCTTCCATCGCGCTTCGCCTTGTTTTCAGACAGCAACCAGATTTGAAGGAACTGTGCCATTATCGGGGTGCTCCTTATTAGGCTGCTGAGAAACCCAAGGCAGAAGGCCGCTGGATGTCGGGGCCGGACGCGGAGGTTGCGGTTGAGGGATCGGGGCAGAAGCGGAAGGGCCCGAAGGGGTGTGCGTTTTTTGTGGAGAATGTGCTTACCTAACATCACCGTACCAAATTACAATTCTAGCAGGATGGGAGAATTAAAAATAGCAGTCCAAGCCACGCTTTCCGAGTGGAACGTGGCGAAAGAAGGCACGTGGCTCGGTGGGAGAGGTGTGGCGCATGGGGGCAGCTTACATAATACTGGCAATAGAGAAGAACAGTCGGGGAATACGAACACATCAGCATTCAGAATGGTAGATGGATTTCCATACCTCGGTGATGATTGATGAACCACTCAGACAATTCGGCAGACCAGGGCAGAAAACAAGTAATAAATCCCCGAGTTCAAATCAGGTACGCCGTCAATGAGCACCACTAATGGGCACCCCACCGATCGTTAGGGGGCACCCCATTTAACCACTTCAAGCAAATAGTGGGAAGGCACGTGAGATTTACACGTGCACTTCTCGACGCGCCTGCCTAAGGTACGCATGAGCGCACTTTCCCTCGCAATTGCACGACTTCCTCCTCAAAACACCAACTTTTCTTGACAGAAACGCGTATTGGCCCCCGGATTTTCGAATAAGAAGAGTACCTTCTGGAGCACTGATTGAAGCGCTACGGAAAGGTATACTTTCCGACCGAAAAATCTCTTCTCGAAGTGTTGTTTTGGTAAAGAGGTCAAAGTTCGCCGGAAAGTTGCTTGGTGGAAAAGGGAGATTGTACGGAGTACGGCGAGGCAGGTGCAGGTGCAGGTGCAAAGGCAGGAGCGCGCCTTCCTTCCGTTCGGCGCCCGGCGCCCGGAGGTAGCTGTTGTGGCTGTGGTGGCTTAGTGACCCTCTATTTCCTTGATGTGGTTAAATGGGGTGCCCCCTATCGATTGGTAGGGTGCCCATTAGTGGTGCTCCCGTCAATACTCCGTATTACCGGGTCCGCGTTTCCTCTACTCCGTACGTACGGTCCCCAGCGTTCCCATTGGCTTCCTCGTAATCGTTCCCTCCAAGCTCGTTCCGCATCCTTCAATCCATGGCCCCTCGTGTGCCTGTTTGAACTTTGGAATAAACCTTCCAGGCAGTGCCAGGGTGAGAGCTATGAATGCTGTGCGATATTTTCGGTCATGAGTATCACTAGGTCGTAGATGGCTGGCTACCTTGGATCTTTTGGGTGCTGACCGGTATCCACTCATGGAAGTCAGATTCGAAGATTCCATCATGTGTCACCTCCCTGCCTCCTAAGCCTCTTCGACTGACCGCTTCCATGCGATGGCCGCTCCCGCGCAACCTGGCGATTGTCTTTCCCATCACGAAGGGGGGATGGGCAAAAAACGCTGATCAAGGGACACTCGGTGATATGGCACATCCAAAAGCACATTAGCTGCAGCAGTTGAGGCATTTCACACCACAAAGGCTAGGGATCTTCTTCTCCCCTCATCTTTGAAGGTTCAGTCGAAACGCTCACAATTTTTTCGATGGCAGTTGAGCGGTACCGGGAATTTTTTATATGGCTGCCTGATTGATGAACGAGATGCGGTTCCACGCGACCAGTGCCACAGATGGGGGTTCGGTTTAGGTACCTTGGTTCTCGAGAGTCAATTCGCGTCAAGGCCCAATCATATCCGCCGACTCGGTCACGGCGGGGTGGAAACCCCATGATACAGATGCGATGATTGGCAGCTGTAGGGGGGGCGCTGATCGGCGGACTCAAAATGGAGACCCTGGACGGTGGACAAGCAGATGGAGACGGGACGGGGGGCGAATGTCACCATCGGGACGCCCGAACTAGTCGGGCCACACGGCCGGACGCAACCTTTTCACTTGCTGTAAATTTCAGTTGTCAGTGGCTCGCTTCGTTGTCTTGCGCTTTAGTGAACAGTGGTGTTGTTCACAGATCTGATGTGACACGGAGGGAGGCCGTGAGGGCACGCATGGGGGCGAAGATCAACTGCAAATCATCAGCCGGAACCCGATAACGGCAGCTTCAGCTGAGCTGAGCTTTAGAGATTGTGTGAAGAGGGGTCTTTTGTTCTTATTTTACGTTGGTTTGAGGCGTCCAAGTGGCAAGATGAGTGAACACAAGTAGAAGAGGCAACTTGCTGTGTGCATGATGTATGGCAAGATTAGCCAGGCAGCGAGCTGTAAAACTAGCATTATCCAGAGTGATATGCTGTTGATAGCATTGAGACCAAGAGAATAGTGTCGTGGAGTTGCACTTGGATGTATCTCAAGGCCGCAGCAGACTTGGCCTTGAAGTTGTTGATGTCAAGTTATGAAGTTCGGATTCTCACATTCGGATTCGAGAAAGATGGAGTCAATACGTACCTGAGAGTACCCCCTGTATCGAAGTACCTTGTGCCGAAGTACCTTGTACCATGATCTCCCCGCGACTTACACCATCTGGGCAGTTGGCAGTGACCACGGTCCGCGGTCCACAGACTCCGTCGCGCCAACTCGGCCTCTCTCACGAGGCATCGTCATTTCTTGTTGACTCCTTGTCTTGTTAGCAAAAGAGGAACTTTGGCTTGCGTCGTCAAATTACATATGCTTCCTTCGCTCGCGGCATTTCGTCCGAAGCGGGTACGGTTGCCAGACAAGCGAGGCGCCGAGGGGCTGTACCATGCTTCTCAGTCCGTCCTCACTTCTGATCGTCTGCTGCTGCTGCTGCTCTCATCTGCTCATTGCTCTGCTCCCAGACGGTCGGTGTACTGATGCATAGCCTATCTATCCGTACCTTACCTCAAGTGATCCCTCACTCAAAGAAGAGTACCTACATACGGCAAGGTCCCCGGCATTCGGGGCCGTGCTGTGCATCAAACGATGAGCTGCCAATGCCATTCTCCGTAAGATACTTACCCACAGATACGGGTCACTCTCACACTGGCGTAACTGGGTTTAAT